TGAGGCACACATTTTTCTTATTTTTTTATTTTATTGATTTGACGCAAGTGAGTCAATATTGTGGGTAAGGTAACGTTAAACCATGCCGCTAATTCCTGGGTAGTTTGACTAGGATCGGCTTCCACTATCTCTCTTAATTCATCGTTATTCACCTGTGTCTTCGGTGCGGTCTTCCTCGTGACTCGTTCTTTAAGTCGAAATTTCCATCACGAAAGCGTTTAAACCAAAATCGCACGGTGCGTTCATTAGTAGACCCCTCTCCAAACGCAGCATTGATATTGCGGGCTGTTTCTGCCGCGTTAGTTCCGCGTCGGAACTCGTATTCAAAAATCACTCGAATTTTCGCAGTATCCATCTTTCTTGTCTAAATTGAATAACAAAAACAATTGAAAGTCGATATTCAAATGTTTCAAATTAAAAAAAAAAAAATCACAGAAACCATTTGAAAAAAGTTTCATTCGAAAACCTCAAACCATGAAGATTCTATGAAAATTCAAAGAACCTATTGCAATAAAACGGCAATTTCATACTTTAACCCCTAATATTAATAATTATAACAAACTAGTGGAGTAATTTCACAAAAAATTATTGAATAATCAATTCAATAAAAATTTAAGATTTTAAAATTGTCAAAAGTAGAAGTTACCGAACGAAAACGATGGACCCAACAAGAGGTGGCGATAGCTTAGACTATAACGATGGACCCAACAAGAGGTGGCGATAGCTTAGACTATATTTTTTTCCATCCTCTAAGGGCGATAGCGTGGTTGCTTCAACAACAAAAAGGTTTTTTGCTGTTGTGAAATCATTTTAAATCTCGTTTATCTTCTAAGTGGCTTTTGGCTACACGAGTTTATTTTAAAATTGAAAAGATGTTTTTAAAGCTTACAACATAATAGGGTCGTATTCCAGAACTCTACTCAATGCTCAAGTCAGGATCTGAGCACTGGAAATACGACTGTAATGGCAGAGACTTGAGTATGATTTCGAGTGCTTTGAATCATGCTCAAATCCTGACTTGAGCATTGAGTAGAGTTCTAGAATACGGCTTTAAGGGTCGTATTCTAGAACTCTACTCAATGCTCAAGTCAGGATTTGAGTATGGTTTTTACAGCACTCGAAATCATACTCAAGTCCCTGCCATTAGTGTCGTATTTCCAGTGCTTGTGTTTCAATTGCAATCCTGACTCGAGCATTAAGTAGAGTTCTAGAATACGACCCTAAAGATCTTCGAAATTATATTTTTTAATATTTCCAATTTTTCGGGAATTTTCCGGGAAAAATTTCCGTATTCAAATTTTTCTGAAAATTACCCAACTGTATATAGTTTGAAATAGAGATGGGTCATGGATAAATACCATTGGGATAAATACTCAGTAGAAAGATAAATATGGATAAATATCCATATTTATCCATTTTTACTCGATATTTATCCAAAAACGTGGATAAATATTTTTAATCGTGGTTTATTATTTATATAGTAAAACAAAGTATATTTTTAAGCTTCATTGTAAACATTGATACAATTTAGTAGCATGTACGTATAGTATATTGCTTGTTGTATCTTTTTTTCTATACGCAGTGATAAAAAGAATACGCTTAAGTACCGCAAATCCGTGTATTTTTGCGTGAATCTTATTATTTTTTAAATGCGTAGTTTGTTAAAAAAAATCTCTATACACAACATTAAACAGCTGTTTAACATTTTGCATGTTTTTTTTTTTTCAAATTACAAAGTTAGTCCGTTATTGTACAGTTGTTCAGCTTCGTATATTATAGAATATAAGGGATTTTGGTTGTTCAATATTTTATTTTTAAAAACTGTACAGACTTCATTGGAAATACTTAAACGATAATTAATTCTAATACAAAGGAAATTTAATACAAAATCACTTGGCCTCTATTTTGCCAAAACCTAAATTCGCTACCGACTAATTTACATGAGTGCGAAAGATTAGGAGAATTGTGTCCGCAACTCCGCGCCTTAGATAAGGTTCGCAGTCCGCGCACTTCGCATCAGTTCATAGATGAGTATAAGTATGTACTAAAGTCATAGTAATAGCCATCTTGTGGTTTTCATTAAAATAGCACCTTCTAGTCCCCACGGGCGAAACTAACTCGTACTGAATCAAGTAGGCTATAGGTAGACATATATATCTAGCGAGTGCCTTTGAGTGCCCTTGAGTGCCTTTGAGTGCTTTTGAGTGCCATTGAATGCCAGCGAGTGCTTTTGAGTGACAGCCAGTACCTTTGCGTGCCTTTGAGTACCTTTCAGTACCTTTGAGTGCCCGCGAATACCTTTGCGTGCCTTTGAGTACCTCCCAGTGCCAACGAATGCCCGCGAGTGCCTTTGAGTGCCAGCGAGTGCCTTTGTGTGCTCGTGAGAGCTTTTGTGTGCTTTTGAGCGCCTTTGAGTGCCAGTGAGTGCCTATGAGAGCCCGCGAGTGCCTTTGTTTACTTTTGCGTGCCTTTGAGCGCATCACTCGCGGGCACTGAGAGGCACTCAAAAGCACTCAAAGGCACTCAAAGGCGCTCAAATGCACCCAAAAGTACTCGCTGGCACTTAAAGGCACTGAAAGGCATCCAAGGCACTCAAAGGCACTCAAATGCACCCAAATGTACGCGCTGGCACTCAAAAGCACTCAAAAGCACTCAAAGGCACTCGCGGGCGCTACCGGTCACTCAAAGGCACTCAAATGCACCCAAAAGTACACGTTGGCACTCAAAGGTACTCAAAAGGACTCAAAGGCACTCAAAGGCACTCGCGGGCACCCAAAGGCACTCGCGGGCACTCCCGGGCTCTCAAAGGCACTGAAAAGCAGTCGCTGGCACTCAAAGGCACTCGCGTACTGTAAAAGACACTCACAGGCACTCAAAAGCACTCAAAGGTACTCGCGGGTACACCCGGTCACTCAAAGGCACTCAAATGCACCCAAAAGTGCTCGCTGGCACTCAAAGGCACTCAGAGGCGTTCAAAGGCACTCAAAGCACTCGCTAGTACTCAAAGTCACTCAAAAACTCTCAGAGGCACTCGCAAGCACTCCTGGGCACCCAAAGGTACTGAAAGGCACCCAAAAGCACTGGCTAGCACTCAAAGGCACTCACTGGCACTCAAAGACATTCAAAGGCACTCACCGGCACTCAAAGGCACTCGTAGGCACTCAAAAGTACTCGCTAGTACTTAAATGCACTCGACAGTACTCACAGGCACCCAAAGGCACTCGCTGACACTCAAAGGCACTCGCGGGCACTCAAACGCACTCGCTAGTACTCAAAGGCACTCGAACGCACTCACGGACGCTTAGAAGCAGTCAACGGCACTCAAAGGCTCGCAATAGCACTCACTAGTTCTCAAAGGCACTCGTTAGTACTCACAGACAGTCTTTGGCACTCAAAAGCACTCAAAAGCACTCAAAGGCACTCAAATGGCGCTCGCTTGAAAGGGTTGTAACCCTAACAACCATGATCAGGATCACGGCAGTAAAACAGGAAACTTCCGGTCCACAAAGTTATTAAAAGAAGTAATTTAAAACGAAAGGTAAAGTAAATAAATCCTTATCGGGTTGTATTATGTTGAATTACAGATATTGGATAGACTGTTATTCGCTCATTATGCTAGATACAAGATTTACATTGATTGTATTACGATTAAACTTGAAAAAAAAAAATTAGACAATTTGATTTAGTAGTTCTGTCCGCTATCGCGGTCAAACAGAGAGTGACCGTGTTACGAAGCAAAATGAGAAAGCGAAAGAAGATTCAATTCAAAGCACTCGCTAGTACTCAAAGACACTCGCCGGCACTCAAAGGCACTCAAAAGCACTCGCTAGTACTCGAAGGCACTTGCGGGCACTTAGAGGCACACAACGGCACTCGTTGGCACTCAAAGGCTCTCAATAGCACTCGCTAGTACTCAAAGGCACTCGTTAGTACTCAAAGTCAGTCTTTGGCACTCATAGGCACTCAATAGCACTCTAAAGCACTCAAAGGCACTCGCTAGTACTCAAAGGCAATAGCGGGCACTCAAAAGCACTCGCTGGCACTCAAAAGGACTTAAAGGCAATAAAAAGCACTCCTGTCTCTCACAGGCACTTAAAAGCACTCGTGGGCACTCAAAGGCACTCGCGGGCTCTCGCGGGCACTCGCGGACTCACAGAGGCACTCACACGCACGCCTTGCTAACTCGCACATCTCTGGTGGAATTGCAACCTAATCGAATCTTTTCATGCGAATGCTACCGGTGAAGGAGGTAGTTTATAATGTAATGCTCAAAAACTAATGTTTACAAGCGAATGCTCGCAGGTGAGGGAGCGCCCTTACATAAAACAATGGCAAAACGAGAAGTAATCGCACGTAATTATTTAATAAAAAATTATATAATTCTAATGAATTTTATTGTAAAAAACACAAAAAAAATATTTATTCATATTTTAGGATAAATACCCAGTAAAAACGGGTATTTATTGGATATTTATCGGGTAAAAACTTTATTTTTTTCCATCCTCTAAGATAAAACCATCTCGGTTTGAAATAGTCTCTATGGATACGATTCGCTCTGGACCTTTTGGAGGGAAAAGTGTCGTTTTTATTTTGACTTTCAATTATTTTGTGAAATCTAGTTTAAAGTGGAATAGGATAGTGCTATTGTGCCTTAATGGAAGATTAAAACGCGAAATTATACGAATCTTGAACTAAAATACCCGTATCGGCCCGTTTTAAGGAATCCCGAGTCAATCCAAGCACGCCGCCTCAAATTGCCTATCCTCTTTGTGGCGGCCATATTTACAGAGACATAATTAAACTTCATGTTTAGGCTGTTGGCTTTGCCAAAGCCTTAATAAATTTAAAAAAAAAATCTCTATGGATACAATCGTATCTATTTTTTGTCTATGAGTAATCTTGTTGCTCATTTGCTCATTGTCAACTTCGATTTCATACTTACATCGATTGCAAATTGGTTTTTCACAATTAACTCATTCTACAAGCTTTATAAATGCACGTTTTAGGACTTTTAAGATAATAACAAATATTGCTTTGTTCAAAAATAATAATTGCGCTGTAAATACTGTATCAAAGCGGTCCTATAAGCGTTATGTGAATCCAACATCAGCTGTTTTATGTTTTGACTCCACGCATCAAAGAAATAGGCAAATCATATTTTCTACGCATTCATAGTGGTGCTTCGTAAATATGACAAATATGAGTGCTGCTGCTGCGGGCCCCAACGCTACATACAATTTCAAAGTTGTCCTGTTGGGCGAGGGGTGTGTCGGAAAAACTTCTTTGTTACTGCGTTATATTGAAGATAAATTCAACGACAAGCATCTGACCACATTACAGGTACAGCAAAGACTTTGTTATCTTATCTATTGGACATAAAGCGTAAAAAACCTATATATATAGTTCTTGTAGTGTTAAAAATTTCTTTGTTTTCACTTTGATGATGTTAGGCCTTGTGCAGGGTACAAATAGCGATACGTATATAATAAATGCTATAATTTAAACAATATGCCCACTATTGGTACCAATTACCTGGTCTCAAACTTAAGAATTCGCTGTATTTATAATACAGCGAATTCTTAAGTTAGAAGAAGAATTCATACTTGGGCACCGTCTAGAACACCCAGACCAGAACCAATAAAGAAAAATTCACTTGCCAAATTGGTCTTCCCAATAATTGAAACTTTTGAAACCACTGGGCCCCTCGAAATCATCAAATATTATATCGTACAATGTACACAATGTTATCATCAACACTGCTATATCTAATTTGTCACTTTTTGATATAATTTGTTTGGGAACCAGATCTGTAGATTGTTAGTAAATTATAAAATATTGACATGTATCTACACAATACAAACAGCAACACAAAAACAATTAAACATTAAGAACACTATGTTACTACCAATGGGTGAAAGTCGGCTGTTGGGCTTTTCCTCCTGCGCTTAAGTCTGTATGCACTTCCACAAACATGCTTTAGATGTTTCAGAAGCATGGCAGCCCCAGCAACACCCAGAATGTGTTGTTGTATTGAAAATTAATCTTAATAACATATAGTTCAATTTTTTATAGTGCTTTACACATTAATTCATAATTGTTCAACTATGTAGGATTACATTATTTATCAAAATATTGTGATTTTAGGCAACATTCCTAAACAAGAAAATAAACATAAATGGCAAGCGTATCAATCTGGCAATATGGGATACAGCTGGCCAGGAAAAGTTTCATGCTCTTGGGCCCATATACTACAGAAACTCGAATGGGGCTATTCTGGTGTATGACATCACTGATGAAGATTCCTTTGGAAAGGTAAATGTAGCTGCATTTATGATTTGTGAGTAACATTGGTAAGCTATTTATAGGGTATTTTGATTTTGTAAACATTTCTTTCACAGGTAAAAAATTGGGTAAAAGAGCTAAGAAAAATGTTGGGATCAGAAATAGTGCTTATTATTGCTGGAAATAAGATTGACTTGGAACATGAACGGACAGTACCACTTGAAGAAGCAGAGAGGTAATTAACTTGCAGTAATATACACACATTTGTTTATTCTCTTGGAAATAGAACAGTTAAAAGGTATAGACATATATACAGTAAGTAACATATGATTAAAGAGGCGCCACATGTGGAACAAAAGGTAGGAGAAATTGGGAAGATGAAGGCAGCCTGCAGGGCAGGAGTGCCTAACACGCCAAATAGATCACAACAAAATAACTGCTCATAGTTCATGGACCAATCGCATGTTGCAAAAGTAATTATAAAAAACAATTATGTGCAATGTAAATAGATTAAATTTTGTACCAATTTTAACCACTTAACATCAGGTGGAGTGGAGTCATTTGCCTGTCATGTATAAAAAAAAAAAAAAAAAAAAATTACTTTATATAATTACTTAATAGTTATTAATAAATAAATCACTATAATATTGTACAGTACGGAACAGTGTTTTACAATGTCAATGTTTGTTTACAGTTATGCTAACATGGTTGGAGCAAAACACTTCTATACATCGGCTAAACTAAATCAAGGAGTGGAAGAGCTATTCTTAGAGTTGACCCAAGAAATGGTTGAACGGTTTGAACAAAACTCTCAAACTGATTTAAATAGAACACAGAGAGTACTAGTTGTCGACGATGAGGCTCCTGTACAGTCCTCATGCTGTACAGGCTCGAAGACCAACTAAAATGTATGGATAAATGCATTGCATTGTGATGGCTGTACAGTAAATGTAGTTAGATATATTGCTTAAACTGACCTTGTAGAAAGTTACAACTGATTAGTTTACTTCAAATTTTGAAATAAAATCCTTTTCTTGTCTTAAATAAGTTTGTGAGTTTTATAAGTTACATAAAGCTGTGTGGTCAACTTGAGATACTTAAATTATATTATATACCAATATACATACTTAATGAAATAATGATAAATAATAACCAGCAAAGTTATTTCTGAATTAGATTACAACTATTATTAAAAGTGGTTAAGTAAAATGTTAATATTATGCTATTAGCGAAGTTCTTCATATAACACCAATTGCCTATGTAAATAACGTACTTGTCATATGCTTAAAATGTATTCATATGTGTTAGCGCTTTGATATCATTTTCTATGATGTTCAGCCAAAGATATAAAGGTTACGCTCAAGGATGCAAAAATGAAATCTTGTCTACTTATAGGTTGCCTTATATGAGCTTTACCTAAGTTTTATGCAGGGTAGTGGTAATTTTTATGCTCATTTAAAAAATAATTTGGATATTTGTATTGATGAACATGTAAATACATAATATTTTATATTATATAATATCCAAATCATGACAACTGGAGTGTTCTCCAGGGTATGAGAAACGCGAATATCTGTTGTTATATCGACAGCATAACATGTAAGGTAAAGGCATATTTCAATGAGTTACTTGAAGACGTGCACAGGTGGTTTGTTTGATAAAGTAGTTTCTTACACATGACCAGTCTAATAAGCAAGCGATCATAGCCTAGACACTTGCCTCCTATATACAGGGAAGGGTTTACTCCCATCGGGAAGTCTGCTACTTAGGAATCTTCGAATCCAATGAATTTAGGTTTGTTGGTTATCTCTCGCTTGAACGATGAAAGGATACACCATGATACATCGTGAAGAAATCTGCATCTTCAAATATAGACAATGCTTGATTATAATGACAAAATATCATATTGAAGTTCTTCCGCAATATTGATGTTAATTGGTTTCAAAGTTGTTTGGTTATGTGCTGATGAACACATGACCAAACAACTTAATTCATCAATCAACTTATTTCAAATATAATGTTATGGGACATGCTACAAATTCAAATGTATGTTATATTTTATATAATAAATAAATGGATAGGCTCAACATGTGACTACTTATTATAAATAATCCAATAAACAATTTTAGTCTTGTGTATGTAAGGTTTCTTAATACATATGTGACTGACATACTAATTAGTCACCTGCACTCTTATTTAGTTAGGCAGAGTGCTAAAAAATAGAATATAATATTAGACATAAATTCAGCTATTGTTTATAATTGTAATCAATTGTTTTCATGTAAGTTGGCCTTGTGCATATTCAAGATTTGTAGCTTCACTCATTATTATTATTTTTTATTGACCATTGGCTATAGAACCGTCAGCTAAAAAGGTAACAAATTATTAGATACTCCTAAAAATAAATTCATGTCAAAAATGTAACTCTTGAAAATGTACTGTAGTTTCAGTCAGTTTATTTGTTTCCGGTAACAAACTTTTGAATAGGTGTCACGGTATGACATCTAGGGACAACTTCGAACGGAATTGCAGATCTGGGGGTCTACTCTCGATCTCCGTCTGACGTCCCTTCGAAACAAGTAGTGCCAAATAAGCAATACTTGACCAAATGAAAAGACGCGTGATGCGAATGAAACTTCATACTGGATACTTGTCTTTTAATTATGTCGAATATTACTTATTTGACAGTAAATGTTTCGGACGGAGATGGAGAGTAGCCCCTCAGGGTGCGACTTGTGCGAGAGCGACATCTCTAAACGAGAATAACAGTATCTCGCGCTTTATGACGCTCTCGCTCAAGTCGCCCTGTCGTGCTAGCCCTACAGGAAAAAATACACAGCCAATAAGCAAAAAGCTATCAGGATTTGATTTTTAATACGTTGATTTCTATACAGTCAAAGGGACAAAAGATGTAACACTTGCATTCCAAGACATCCACTGCAACAAGCAACTAAAAATAAATTTATGAACAAATGTAACGCTTTAAACTACAAATGTATTATTTATTTATCTAATAGATGTTTAATATAATAATAATATTGTCTTATTTTTGATGAAATTGCATTACATACAGTTTCCTAAAACTTTGCTGCAGATTACCGAGAGGATGATTCTTAGATTTAAATTTAACAAGCTTGAAACGGGGGAAGAGTGCGGACATAATGCTATGACTGGTTGTTGTAAATTTACGCTTAAGCGTTAAGTTATAGTTGAAACAGACTTAAATTTTTTATCATTATTAGTTACATATATACTCAACTCTATAAATGGATAAATTAGTATATCTAACACCTTCATGTTATTATCAAACGATCAATCAATCTTCAAAAACAACGAATAGGAGTACATTTTCAAACCAGGTATTACTGCTTTTAGCACGGCGATTATCTTCACTTGGTTGGTGGATGTGGTTCATTCGATTTTGTAACTCGAATGAAAAGTTATAGCTAAGAGAGATTGGTTCAATAGAAACTTGGGCTGACCAAAATATTGCAATAAAAGAAAAAAATCAATGTCTGTTTGGTGTGCTCAGTGGCAGGATATAACTTGGTAGACTTAAATTTCACAACAACGGTGGCCCAACGGTTGATACTGTGGGTGCTGGTGAGAAGGCCCCGGGTTCGATTCCCGGTAGGATCAAATTGGGAAATCAAGTTTTCTAAATTGGTTCTGGGTGTTCTGGGAACTGCCCCAAAGTGAACTCCGTTGCTCTGGTACTCATACTACAGGGAATTCCCTAGTTTGAGACCAGGCGTTTAGTGGTTGTCTGACACATTGTTATTATAAGCGACTTAGAAGGTAAATAAAACAATATATTGTGTTAACAATTCTCTAATAAAAACTACATGCAATAATATAACAGTAACGTTATTGACAATTTACAGTGTAAAATCAGTTGGTGACATTGTGATTTGAAACAAATTCAAATCTTTTACACGTCATGCTTTGCTTAGATCAAAGGATGTCCTGAATAGTCCTTTTGATGCAAGTCGAACAAATAAATGTAACACGTAAAATTCGAATTATTTTTCACATCCTTTCCAGCATACACACATAGCTTGCAATCACTATTACATAACTTTAACAATCGCTAATAGATTTATACAATGAAAAAGAAAACCAAGCCAAATAGCTCGATTTAACTTTTTACTTTAAAAGCAGTTTGGTCTCATTAGTAAAAACCTACCATTCTACCCCGTAACATAGTTTAAGAAAAATAGTCGACTAAACTATTCTTAACGATAGTGGAAGCTTTGTAGCTTACTTCACTTTAAATTAAAGACCTACATTTATATATGTGATACAAAAATCTGTAAAACGTTTAGTCTGACCATTTATTGAAAAAGCATATAAATATTTTGCAAATAATTTCTAATTTGTATAAAACCACTATCTACTATTAGGTATAATTCTTTATAAAGGAATGCAAGTACAGACTAAAGGCAGTGTAACCGAATTTTAATAATGCAGTCTGATTATATAACACCGACTATGACACTTTCTTCATTAGTCTTAGCGACAGTCTACGCAATATTGCCATGTCATTTTCAGTCAAGGATATATATTTTTTTGTTGTGGAAACTTTGAGGTCAACTATGTATTTATGTTTCGTATCACAGTTAATTTTAATTGCATCACTTTTGAAGCTTACGGATGGTAGATCTGATTTTTTGTCTAGATCGCAATTAGTTTTGACGCAGTGTCACTTTTCCATGTCTATTTCTTTTGCAGTTCCCTTTTTCTTTTGCTTTGTCTCTGTTTTCATGTTGGTATTACTGGCAACTGGTGAAATTTCAATTATTTTAGGTCTCTGCAGATCTGATTCTGTTTGGTCTAGGGGTGGCAAATCTAGCAAGTAAGGCATCATGCTGCGTGACTTCTCTTCTGCTGATAGCCATTCCATCTGAAATCAAACCAAAATGAGATAAGTTCATGTCCAGCAGATAGCATATTGTTAGTCAACTTCAAGCAGCAACTAATCAACTTTCAATGTTTTACAGTAACATTTGTAAAATTTACTGATACATAAGTAGTCTTTATTTACCTTCTGACGATGATCCTTGATAGCATCGTCGCAAATTTCAATACACATATTTTCAGTGAGACGACCGTCATCAGAGGCATAAGCGGCGGCTTGCCAGGCAACGCCCAACTTAGACAAAGCTCGACCAGACATACCAGCTGTCCTATGGGCCAAATTTATGCACAAAGCTCCGTAGTCAAACTGATCCACACTGAGACGCCTGAAAACAAGAACATATCAACGTGAAACATTTTCTACATTGAATTAATCAATTTTTATAATGTGTGGTTATTATTTACCTTTTTCCTTCAGTTGCAGGTTGCAGAACAAACTTGTCAAAGTAAAGACGAATCAAACGCTCGCGCTCTTCGAACCCTGGCAAGCCAAATTCTATCATCTTGTCAAGTCGATCATTGATAGCAGAGTCGAACTGTTGTGGGGTGTTCGAAGCTAGCACCAACATGATGCGGGTACTTTGGTCTGAGGTGCGATAGAGGAACGCGTTGAGAGCAGCTCTTAGATGCTCGCTGATTCTCTCTGATGACCGCTTCCGCAGGAAAGCGTCAGCCTCGTCAATAAAAAGGAGTACACCTACAACAATAGCCTTGTAATAAGAAACATTTAAAACTTTTCTATTCAAATAATAATTTCGACCTTCATTTATACCTCTTCTGCTTGTATTTGCCCAGTCAAATACTTTGTGGATAGCTGCTACTGCATCTTTGCCCATAGGTGCGACATCGCCTCCCGTTAAAATTGCATAGTCCATTCCAGAATGCTTAGCTAATTTCTATGAACAAATTAAAACAAAATTGAAATAGACCACAAGACATGGAACGATAATAATGTGTGCTATTAGTTTACCTTTGAAAACAGGGTTTTACCAGTTCCAGGTGGTCCATACATGAGCAAGTTCCTATAAAAACCTTTGTTGATGCGAGTATTTTTAGTCGCTATGGCTATGTCTCGTAATCTTTTTTCCAGGATGGGTGACAATACTACCCCAGCCAATGCGTCAGATGGCTTCTTGAAGCTGCTTATTGCTTTCGAAAATGTTAGTATGGGATGTTTAACCGCTTCAAGTAAAGAAAATCTCGAAGTTTCATTCACAAGTGTGGGTTTTCCTGAAAAATAATAGTATGATTACAATGTTTAATCTTGAAAAGTATTCTATTTCAGCAAGCAGAAATCTTGTTTAAATTTAATGTATTTCTAATTGTCTTTTTGTCAGTATATCAAAGCAAAACTTGAGAGTGTATTCACTTAATAGTTATTTACAACTTGACTTCACTTGTATTACAATGTCATACCAATTCGAGCTTCGATAAAACGGGCAGTGACCGACGTGGCACCCTTAGCTGTGTAAACACCTAATGCCAGTAGAGACAAGCCACCCGCAGCTGCTAGAGTTTTGTCCCAGTCTGTAACTAGTGCATTAAGTCCCATTCCTATTACAGTGCCTGCTGTCCTGCATTAAAAACACGAAATATATTGGTAAATATTTAATTCCTCACGAGTTTCCGGGATTTTGTGACTTTATATCAACATGTTTTCTATAAAAATATATAATACATATTGGGGCATTTCACTAAAATTCCAATGATGATCCTCTCTGTAATTAAAAAATTCTTCTTTAAAAAAATCTTACAAAAAGGTAAATGTTATTATGTGCTACATAAAAAACATAATAAAATTCGGGGTTAACTAAGGGTTTACAATTAAAATTTAAAAAATGTGGCTATTCAATAAAATTTTGGCCAAAAAGTTATGTTATTTTCTTTTATCCAGTAACTCATCCCAAAAATCCAAGGCAAGGGAATCAGATTTTTGCTTCCCAGAAAGGATACTTTCTGCCAAACAATGTGATGAAGAAAACAAGTCAATACAAAACTATGTCATAAAGAAAATGAGTGGAATTGAAAGTTCATTTGCCACAATAGAAAGAACAGTGCAATAAAAGGTTGAGAGAATCATAGTGCTAAAATTCATCCTCTGAGGAAATTGCTCATGAATTTTAAGTACCCAATATTGTTTTTAGTACAAAATTTTGGATATTATTAATCATAGTACATGCGACCTTATTATTTCGCGGAGAAGCGACTTTTTAAGAGTTTGTGCCAGCGCGCAAATATCACAAAATTATATGTAACAAAAAATAGTTTACCATAAAAGAAGTTTTCTAACATATCATATCAAAATAGAACTATATGCAGAAATTGCTAGCAATAAAGCAAAGACAAGAAAATTACACTATGAAACTAGTGCAAACATACTTGATACTCTCCAAAATAGTGGTTCTATTTTCAGCAGCTTTCACTCTGATCTGTTCCAAATTAATGTCTCGGTTGTCCCGATCTGCTTTAGCACGAGCCCTGGCTTCCGCCTCAATAGACTTGAGCTTGTTTTTCTCACGGAGCTCCATTTCATGTTCAATAGTAGCTCGACGCAAAGCCTCCTGTTTGGCCACACTCTCTTCTTGCCTAGACAAACAAAAATTGTTTACAATTGCAGACTACTACTACTAACCGCAGGAACAGTAACCAGTGAAGAAAAATCAGCTGACAAAATGTTTACTCTAGGTCAGCTCTTCATTGTCTAATTTTTAAATCAATTTGAAATTCAGAATGTCTATTCTACATTATTGAAAACCCACTCTGAACTTGAAAAATTAAATGCTGAAAGTGTTTTAAAAATATGCATTTTGAAACCCTTTTTGTGTTTAATTTTGAAACACTACTCCTTTTCTCCATTTGATTTGATATTTTATTATGAACATCTGACCGACTTTCAAGCATGACAGTTAAGCCCCAGAAACAAACACCAGTAGTCATAAATGTTGTGATTCTATCTTGTGATTTTACTCATCCATTATATTAGAGTCGAGAAAAAGCAAGTCAACAATTCAGGAGTACTTACTTTCTCAAAATTTCTTCTTGAGATTTTTGTTGTTGTAGCAGCTGGTCTTCATAGCGTTTCTTAGCTAGTTGATCTTGATATTGAGCGCGCATTTGATGCTGTTTTGTTTCTTCCTGAAGGATGATAATGATTAATTCTATTATAGCTAATAACCAATATCTACATAAAACATATTTTGGACAAAATTAATGTGACTTAATAATTACCAATTAATTAAAGATTACCTGAAGTGTTTTGCGTCTCTCTTCATAGTCAACTTTCTTCTGTTCTACTTTGGACTGTTCTATGGCTGCCTCATACTCCTTAATCTTAGCAAGCTGCTCTTGCTGCCGTGTGCTCTCCTGAAGTTTACTGAGCTCCAGGGCTTCTTTAGCATGGCCTGGTATAAATTTTATCGTTATTATGAAGTTACTATTATTTCTTTTTAAACCTTTTTATATATTACGAAATATATGAAGGAAAATTTCATAACTCTCTGAGGACATTTTAAATCACAACCTTATTCAGCACACTATGAATGTGGAGTAGACGGTTGTGTAAATACAAAAACGGTTTAGATGCTGGGTCTCAGAGGAGACCAAGACCAGCAATGGGTTGTAGCATATGTATAGTGTCAGAAAATAATAAAAAAAGTGTACCTAGTACATGATATTACTCTTGAGATAATGTACATTTTATACAAAAGCACCTACAGCATGTAATAAAAAATCTACATCATATGCAAAACCATAAAAACCGAGGAGAGATAAAGTTGATTAGCTAAGATCGCTCTTATCAGAAGAGAATCAAGTCACAATGTGCGGTTTAGGTTATGCGGTCGCATTATGCAATACTATGAAACGTGTTTGGTTGCTGGTTTATTGACTACATACGTGATCTCTCCAGCTCCTTAGCGGCCTGGGCGGCTCTCTCGAGCGCAGTGGAGTCAAACCGATAAGCTTCCATGGTCTTCTTCTCAGCTTTAGTCAAACCTGAAGTAGCAGGCGCACCGCCACTCTCAGCCGGAGGTTCATCAGAAGGCGGCTGGGGAGGTTTCGTACTGTACCCAAATAACCAAGACATGTTTGTGAATGGTAACCTAATTCATAAAACGATCTTTGAACACGTAAATATAAACTATTTCTAATAATAACGCAAACTTTCAGAACCCTCTGCCAAAGGGTAAGGATCCATAGATAAGTAAGAGAAGTAATTCCAAGATCGACCATAGACCATGAAGCGTTGTCCAAGTGCTTTGAAAATGGAACGCATAAGGCCACTGCCATCTATACGTTATTATTATTAATAATTATTTGTGAATTTGTGTTACAGTCAATTCGGGTAACTTTGAACATTTTTTGCGTTTTTCTAATAATTTCAAATTTAATTATGTTTCTTAACAATTACTTTATTAACTGAATAGTGTTCTTTTAAGCCCTTTTTTCGTTCTTATAGAAGGAATTTAGTAATTATTCAACAAAACTGTTCTAGATTTGCTCCAAAAGTCACATTCAAAGTTGCCTTGAATTTTGGGTAACTTTGAATAAGATTAGCCTTCGATATGGAAACCGTATATTTTCTAGATATTTTACAGTTTGTATAAGATTATACGACATATTCATATTTTTTAGATGTGAATCTGTCCAAATATTCCTGACAGTGCGTTCAAAAACGACATTTGACTTGGTATTGCCATAATAAAACGAGACGAACTAATTTAATTGAAATGAAAAACTTGTTTTTTTTTTTAGATTTTTTAATTAATGCGAATAAAAATGAAAATTTTCTGTTTAATAATAAATTCTACGCTTATTTAGCTATCAAACGAGATCAAAATGAATAACCTATAACAATTATTTTAGGCAAAGCAAATACATAACAAAAATCTATTCACCCCACTCCTTGAATAAAATGTCGTCATCAATATAAATACGGCCGCCTTTTCTAGATAGCTGTTGCTCTTTTATAATATTCACAATATCGGCTTTATTAACTTGACATGTCTCAACGTTAGAGGGCCAAGACCAACCTCCTAAAAAGTATTTTTGGAGCACTGAGACAGTAATTTCCAAAGGAGTAACTTTTAGAACTCTCCCTAGAAACAGACTACTCTCTTCTCTAAAAACACAGTCAAACACATTCAAAGTTACCCAAATTTCTCTGTTTGGTAACGTCGTCAAAATCTAATTCGTTTTACGCGTAAATACAAAACCAAATTTAATTATTCTTTAAAAAAGCGATATATAAACCTCTACTTAAGTGTGGAAACCAAAACTTACCAGTCAATATTCAGATTTATATATTTAATTCCGATTCTAAAACTGAGCAACAAATCACACCAAACTACTTTCGCCAAGAAAAAACCGCGAAAGTTTAAAAAAATACAATTTAACATTACTTTTTTCTTTCATAACTTTCGTTTAACAATTTTGTTCCGATTTACACAGTTTCAATACTAAAAATAAAAGATTGCCATATATAAAATAAATTTTTAAATCTTTTACGCAACTACGTTCAAAGTTACACCACGATTCAAAGTTACCCGAATTGACTGTACTAATACATAAAAGAAATTTTCCACTAAGCAGCTAATCGCTAGCGGCTGATTCGCACGCGTTCCTATTTATTCAAATTAGTCATATACCATACCAAATAACGCAGCCGCGACTCGGATGTTTTTGTTTGAATTAAATTAAACAAGACTTAACGATAATATGAAACACCAGAACAATATTGTAAGTGCGACTATCATTTTTGCATTTCAAAGTAACACAATAAGGCATTTTTCAACGATTTTCGAGATTTTTACTATTGTATTTCTTGTTCTGTAGTGGCGACTGCAAAATAATATACATCTCAACCAGTCACGCGCGACTCGAGGATGTATCCAAAATATATGTACCTATTTGTTTACTTATTGATAATAAGTATAGACATATTATTCTTCGAATACAGATGCAGGCGTCTGTCGATATTAAAACTAGCCGCTGCGATCGCTCGTGACAAGACACTTTAGTTATTTTCCATAAATCTAATAGTTAACAACCAATGAAATAATATGATTAATTTTCGTAGACGCTTAATATTTTCCTTACTATCACTACTGTTATATCGAGTAAATTGCGCTCTATGTAGGAGCAATGACAGAAAAAAAATTAAACCAGACAACTTTTTTTATGAAACGTAATGAAATACTTGAATATAACATATGATTGTCATGATTAAAGGGAATCACTTGCAAAACACATTTAATCGGCGATATCCGATGCAGGTTTTACATTAATGGTAACATTTAATGACAAAATTGACGTAACACATGTCCTATCAAAGTAGCAACATACAAAAGGATAAGTTAATGACATGTTAAATGCTTAAACATTGGAAAATAAATAAAAGTGTAGCTCCCATGACTGACTAGACATTGGCAAAATTCTAAAAGAGAAGCCATTCTTCTTTTTAAAAATAGAATAGAATAGAAGTTAATGACAGTTTCACAAAAGCTCGCAGAAGTAAGGAATCTAACCTGTCCTGTGATCTTACATACATAATCGTTTTCCTCTCCTTGCCAAAAATGCAGCTCATTAATTTGCTACATGCTTTGTATAAAATTAAATATGTAGTACTATTAATAGTGGATAGATGGCAGCACATATTGCCCATAATGTAAAGGCGAAGTTATTTTTTCCTCTAACAGTTTTTTCTTTTTTTGGCTCCTCGCAAATAGTGTATGAGCCCCCGACAATAATGTATATATTTATATTTTTGTAGTTTTAACCTCATTTCAAATAAAGCTAACCTCACGGGTGAGAAATAATGTTCGTCGAAATAAATTATCTTGGATTACTTAGCAGCATATATTCAATGTACTCTGTGCTTAGCTGTACCAGCAGTATCAACATACCCTTATAGATATGTAACTCGAGGTAACGAATGTACTGCCATCTAGTGGGCATTTCATGAACTAAAGCTACACCACAATATATGTAAATTTATAGGTAGTACCTATAAACCTGCATGGTACCTAGCTCCTACAAGTTTTTATGATATTTTAATAAATTATTGTTTTCAAGGCTACAAAAACCTTGAAAACAATAGTTTATGCAATTTTCACATAAATGGGAACAAAGGAAAGGAAAATAAGTATCGTTCATCATATACATTTTTATTTATTTTAATGTAATTTATGTTTTACATAATAATTTATGAGCTGCAACTTTCATTTCATCACTTTCATCCCAAAAAGTTTCCTAATAGCAGGTAATTAATTTCCTGGCACCATTTATTAATAAACAATAAAATTGTTTTTTTAAGCATTAATTTTATCAAAATGCTCTTGTGACTAGGACAAGTTACAAAATTGAAATTCATGTGCATTGTAACTATGACTTCTAAATAGTCATATTTTTTTTTGTATTACATTTAGTTTTTAAAACATCTGTCACTATATTCTCCACTATGAAAAAATATGCGAACGCCTCACGACTTGGGTAACAAAACCAAGTTTTTGATTCGTCATACTCTTTTATTTTGATGTATTGATGAAAATCTTTCATCTGCTCTGATTCCAAATCTTGTTTGCAAGTTTGACAATCCTTATACACTTTGTTTTATAAAAGATATATTAAGCACCCACTGCAGTATGATACTGCTGCGCACTTTTCTTTTTTTTCGGGATTCAAAATTAAATTATTTACATCAGCATCCCTTATACACAAATGTTCATCACTTATTTCAAAGTTAATTGGGTCTAGTTGAGGTACGTTTTCAGTTAATAATTTTTTTAGAGAATGCAATAGTTCTGCATTATCTTTTTTTACAATTAGCTCCAACTGCATTGTGTGACGTTATGTTGAAAATTAACAAAGCTTTGTAAGAATTTACAAAAGGACAAGCAGTTGGCATAATGTTGCGCAGACCATGTGCTCTGAATGCCCCTAAAAATCTTTCCAACGGATCTTGATTTATGTGGCGCAGCAATATCGAACCTACAGAATGCAAGTATTCAGTTAGAGTAACAAAAGCTTTAACCCGAACTCTTTACCCAAATCGTTATAGACGGCACAGTTACTCTGTTACCACTTTTTGAGATGAATTTCATCGACTTTAACACAGATACATTTTTATACCATGTACAATGATGTGGGGATCGCGGAGTTACTGCACTTCTATAAAACTTTCCACTTGCAGGTTTGCGGTAATTCCCATTAACGCTATCGAATAAACGATAAAAAAATAGGAGGTCTGTTGTGTCCGCACTGCCTTCTGGTAGTCTCCTTGTCTCTGAAAAGAATAAAAATATGTTTTTTATATAAGCGAGCTTTATCGTTATTTCTAAAATAACTTGTATGTAAGGGGTATGATCACTATTTAATTATGTAAAATATTCGCTTCCGTTGTATTGACTCACTTGGCGTAAGGTTGGTTATCTTGTGTTCGCGTATAGTTAGATAGAAATAATGGATCACATGTATTGCAATCAATAACTACGCCATTTAATAAAAATGGAAAAAAATTGCTATAAAACCATTAAGTAGTAACAACGAGAACTTCTTAAAAATAAAACCTGCCATATATCCCATTGTTCGGCTAACACTTTCACTGAAGACTTGCGTACAGTGTTTAACCCTCTTTTTTGGTATGAGTTTAGGAATTACATGCTGAGATGTTAATTTGTTCAGCAGCTTTACACCTTTGTATTCTGGTCCACGATTGTATAGTGATTCTACATGCGACCAGAAGGCTAATTTACTTCCTCCGTCTTCCTTAAATTCTAAATTTTTTGTTTAAAATTGTTTGTTTTTTGTTTAAAAGATTATGTCTTATACCCTGCATAAGATGAGGTGGACCATACAGACGATATATATTTTTTGAATTCAGTTCAAAAAACCACCAGTATAATTTTTGCCACATTTCAAATACTTTTCTTTCGTTTCATTCATTAAAATGTTTAAAGCTGCCATGTGTGGGAAGCAAGCAGTAAATCTACGGGCATATATTTTCATGATTTACAGTCCGACATCCCAGTCAAACCCTGGTTTTCGCGTACACATTTTGAGAAACGTGTTACTTCAATCATTACAAGAATGAGATTAGGACATACTTGCTCATCTGAACATCTTGCTAGACTTAGTATAACACCTGATTCAATGTGCGTATGCGAAAAAGGCATTGGCAGTCTGAACCACCTTTTCTTTTCCTGTCCAAGATATGACAGTGCTTCGTTTTTTCAATCTATAATTTCTTTACAAATTCTTTTACCAACATATTCTATTCCTTTGTTATTATCGTATAATATTCCGTTTATAATGCATTGGCTCAGTTCATAATGAAAAATTATATTAAAAATTTAGATTATTATTTTTCCAACTATCATTATTTTCAGCTATACCATCTCATTTCCATTTCCTTTCATAATTTCCATCCTTCATTGTTTAGATTTAATTTTAAATATACTGCCTACCCTAACCTTTCCAAAATTCCGTTTGTTTTTATTTTTATTCCGCGATTTCCTTTTCCCGTTTTTAACTTCATATTAATATCCAAAAACCCACATCAAAGTTCTACAACAACAACTGCGATGACGATGATGTCCTGAAGTCTCAAGAAGGAAGAAAATATTCATATGGAAGAATTATAAAAAATTGGCAACTCAATGGAAATTGCATATGGCCAAAGGCTGCACGCCAAGGTGCCAAAAAATAAGAAAAAAAATATTGTCAACGTTTTATTATCATACAGTAGGGTAACTCTTATTAGTTTGTGAGTAGGGCCATCTAGTAACACTCAAAGACTTGCACTTTTCAAACGATAAAATTGGCTTTAACGGCAGTTTTTTCTTGAAAACGACAGTAGATGGCAGTATTTTCAACGTTCCACCTCATTTGTTCCAAAAATTAGAAAGATATAATTGTTCCAAGATACCATGGCATGGTGTACACTCAGCCACAGGTCGTTTACGTATTCTGTTAAAGTTTAGGATTTTTACGCGAACCAAGACAATAAATCCATATTCAACATGTCTAATTTTTCGATATCTTTTTAACTTACGAGAGATTAATTCTAAAATTTTGTGACTCGTTAAACGTAGATAGATAAAATAAACAAAAAAAATCGTAATTTTTCTCAAAGCAGCATTTATGGAAATAACTCAAAAGCGTAATAAAATGTTAATAGCACTCTTCCATTCCTGTATTATTCTACTCCTTGTATTACTCTTGACTATAAAGGTAGAGCAGTTATTCGAACACTGCGCTCATTTTAATGCGTTAACTCACTGAGACCCCATGACTTACAGTAAGTCAAATGGCCGAGACCTATTAATTAAGAACTATTAATTTGCAACTCCCTAAATTTTCTATTCTAAGGTTGCTGATATAAATTGCTACTCATTAAGACCGCCGCCGGTTGAACGGCGGCTTATTCTGTTATACTTACATTACTATTATCTGCTGTCATTGCATTATTATAATGCGTATTTAGTTAATTCATATAATAGTAAAGGAAATTCTCAATAAAATAAACATTTTTAATGTTATTGTGATGTATTGTTGACAATAATTTACTCAAAGTTTAATTATATTACATTGAAGCTTTTTATAAAATTACTTTCCATTATCTTAAAATAATAAATAAATCACAAAATTAGTCATATAAGTCGTGGTTATTTTAAAAGCGAAAAAATATTCAGGTATGTACTGGAAACTAGTCTGCCGTCCATCAACAAAAACGCGGCTGAGTGACAAATGGTCAAATAACCATTTTAAACAGCATAAAATAGAGCACAAAATTCTCTTTTAAAAACAGTTAAAATTAGTTAACGTGTTTGAGTTATCGTAACTTATAGCTGAAATATCATCAAACAATTTCAATATTCAAAACCTAAGATAAGGGTTTTTGTGTCATCTCAAAAAATTATTTTGTCGCTTAGCCGCGTTTTAGGGTCGTATTTCAGAACTCTACTCAATGCTCAAGTCAGGATCTGAGTATGATTTCAAGCACTGGAAATACGACCCTAATGGCAGGGACTTGAGTATGATTTCGAGCGCCATACTCAAATCTTGACTTGAGCATTGAGTAGATTTCTAGAATACGACCCTTAGTTAGCGATCGGCAGTAGTATTGTCTATAATTTAGTTATTCCACTAATTATAAATGCTGTAGTAGATAGAAGTTTATAGACGGTACGTGTGAACACAATCGATAAGTCCAGAAAGGTAAATCACAATCCACTTTATCGTGTCTATCGGCCAAGACGCGGTACGTAGAATAGACAGCAAACACTCAAGATGAGCATTCTGGGCTCTGAAGATGCTCTTTACATTGAGTCGACAAACACGCGCGTATGTCGCTACTGATGCAAACGGAAACCCTACATTGAGGATCTTTCAACCCACCCACTTAACATAATTGTTAATATATGTATTATTAGAACTAACTCACATTTTTACACAACACTTAGAAGCCACAACTTCTAACAAAATTAACTAAAATTAAATAATGCCAAACATGCATTACGCAATACATATAACATATTTTTTTTTAATAAATTTTTATAAGATTTTATTACAATACTCCTCACACAATAGAGTATAAGAAGCTTATTACCTTTAATATTAATAACATCATTTAAAAGAATCACTTACAGAATAATAATGTAAATCATGTATAAATATATTAAATAAAAAAATATCTTACAATATGATTGTGATTTCAGATCTTTCAGAGTATAAAATTGTATAATCTTTATCAAGTTGTATAATATATAATTATCTCTTATCCCATATGCGATAATAACAATTGCATTCAAAATCACTGGTTGCAAATTCCATTACCTTAGACATTCACTAGATATAGACAGATACATATCAGTAGATTCATGATTCAGATCATTGTACAGGGTCAGGTGATGTTTGCAGAGTCACTCCTAAGGGAAGCGTCTATACTAAACAAAGTAGTGTAGTATGTCTAATGGCATTTGTATAGACCTGCATTAGTTATCAAATACCAACACAAACAAAACATTTTTTATTGTAATATTATTTATGAAGCTTATCTCTAATTTGCTTTTGTTTGACACTTGGTTTCTCATAGCTTACTTGTATTAAGTATAAGCATTTGTTTTATCGGTGCCTGCGGTAACAGCCAAGGTATGCGTTGCAGTTGGGACATTTGTGGTGGATATCCATGCAGCTGTTTATGCAGCAAGGGATTAGGCAGCAACCAAGAAAACATCTGCAACAAGTTTTTTTTAAATAAACAAATCAATAACCTTGCCTCAAATGAATTCCTTGTACTATTTACTTGAAATAAACACTAAATGGGCTGTTTTTACTATGCTGCTTCAACCACACAGCCATGTAACATGAGCACCAGTCTGTCAAATCGTATTTATTACTGACACTATGGTGCCTCAACCACACAACCATGTAACTTGAGCACCAGTCTGTAAATTAGTGAAATCCATCTCCCATATTCATATTTTGAAATTTAGTCTTGGATTTCAGAAATGAAATAATCACTCTAAAATTTTAGAGCAAAATAAGACTAGGATACCATTGAAGTCATATTTTTTTAAATGGAAATCAATTTGTGAAATAGGTGAGTGTGTTTTGAGAGGTTGCACAGTGCTTGTTTCAATGTCACATTTGTTAGGAGTTTCGACTATTCAAAGCCACTTTATGCGGCATTTGTTTATTGGTAGTGGCTTGTATTGAGGTTTTGTGAATCATCAAGTGAGTTTACTGAAAAGATAATCCTTGCACCATGACTTGTTGTTATATTATTCATATTTGTGACCTCTCAGGGATGGTGCAGTGTTTCTAATTTTGAAATTATGTTGAAAATCCAGTCTCTGAGTTACAATTTTTGCATAAAAAATATGTTAACATTAAATAATTCTGAAAAATTTTAAAATATTTTACCCAATGCCGCACAAAATAATTGATGATATATAAGCAATAGCGCCTGGCTTAGTTGTAGTGGCTGTATTAATTTCAGCATGGCAACTAGGGCATATCATATGCGTTGGATGAGGGCCCACTGGTACCACAGTTGTCACGATTGCAGGCCCGGCAGCTGAAAACCAAGAAGAAACATAATAAATGAGGCCTAGTCTAAAAATGCCTTTTTCCAACCATAATCCGATCCTAATTAAATTCATAAGTGAACACTGATGTATGTATCCTAAGATATGTCCTCATGTGTCTGAATTTACCATATATCAATGTAAGGAGAGCTTGCTATTTGTTATTGCATAAATTGTCTAACAGTCAGCCGACATAGGACTTGACTGAGATGTTGACTTTTAAAAAATATCTTAAGCCTAGAATAGTTCAAACTTTAAATCTGGTTTGGTATGCCTTATAAAATAAAAAAATTACTTCTGTGAATGCATTTTATTGGAAAGTATCCTGTACATTTCAGATTACAAAAAATATAAATACAGTAATAGTGTAAAACTACTAGCAATGTCGTTGAGAAGTGATAACTAAGTATTTCAAGATATTTAATCATAGTTTATGCACGGGTGTACAATTGAATTACCAATTCAATTCAAATTTGTGAAAGGATTTTTGAGTTATTTATGGATTATGTGATTGATTTGCAATTATTTATTGCACTATAAATAACCCTTTCTATAATTCCATTATATAATGCCTTTACTTGAATTTAAATGGTTTGGTGTATACAAGCTCAAGTTTAAACAATTTAACCACTGTAGATATATTCCATGATTGAATGTTTATGGACAAAATTATATAGTAAAAACAATTTAATTCAACTAAACATAAGTACTAAAATGGACAGTTGGATATTAAATTGAGGTCAAAAGACACAACTTACAACCAATTCCATAACTTTTTAAGCTACACCATAAAAATTGTGTCAGTTTCAATATATGTTTATCTTTGTACAAAACTTGTCTAAAGTTATTGTTGAATTTGGGTCACTTGTTTACTAACCGAGGTCATGCATGAGTCAATTGTTAAATTCAGAATCTTCATTGAAAACCTCCTGTGGAGGTATATTCTACTAAGTCACATTTAATAGGTAAGAATTTAGAGAGGTTTTAAATTACTTGACCTTGAAATCAAGGCTACAAACATAATAATTTCAAATAAACAGCAGCAGATAGATATCTGTAACATGTTTAGTGCGTCATATAAAATTGATTAAAAATAATTTATATTCTTAAAAATGGCAGGTTGACCCTGACAGAGCCTAGTTTAGTTAAGTAACTTAGTTTATTTTTTAAGATTGATTAGAGAAGTTATTTACATATAGACATTTTATGCACAGATACTTACATGGGGGATACTGTGGCGTGTAAGGACTAGAGGGACCCACTCCACCGACGGCTTGCGAGTAGCTTGGGGGAGCTGCCGGAGGTGGTTGCAGGGTGTGACCATTGTTCCACCCATATGGAGGAGGATTCGAGTTTTTTTCCATTTTTTATATCTAAAAAGTATCAGAGTAAACAAAAAGTCATTTAAAGCTGTTGTATGTTTCGACGTGCGCTTATGTGATGCAATACAATCTTGGGATCTATTTTTAGGCGTGATCCTACCAAGCATTTAACGCAGATGGTCAGTCGCGTAATGAGCGTTTCCGCTGTACAGATTGGCAGACTTACCGTTATAGATCTAAGTGAAAAAATAAATACTGTCAGTTTAATTGATACCTAATACAAAAAGTTACATTAATTTTACAAAAACACTTGTTGATTGCGAAGCGAAGCCTCGTTTTGTTTGCTTGACATTTTCATTTCGATTCGAAGTAATCGGTCTTACTATATCCACAGATAAATAATTGCAAACCATAGAGATATTCGAATATTGATCGCCGCCCCTTGTCGCATCATACCTTACTGAACGAACTCAATACGATAAGCATAGCGTTATTGTGTGTGCTAATCCCATGGTCATTTGTTGTGTTGGCCGTAAGACTAGTTTTAATATTAGTAATCGCTATTCGCGTCGCGACATCGCCACTCGTGCGATCGCGTCGTGAGCGGTTCATTTCGGTTCGGTTTTGGCAAAGCCATCAGCCTAAACATGAAGTTTAATTATGTTTCTGTAAATATGGCCGCCACCTCGCCACAAAGAGGATAGGCAATTTGAGGCGGCGTGCTTGGATTGACTCGGGATTCCTTAAAACGGGCCGATACGGGTATTTTAGTTCGAGATTCGTATAATTTCGCGTTTTAATCTTCGATTAAGGCACAATAGCACTATCCTATTCCATTTTAAACTAGATTCCACAAAATAATTGAAAGGACCATTTGGAGGGAAAAGTTAAGTTTTTATTTTGACTTTCAATTATTTTGTGAAATCTAGTTTAAAGTGGAATAAGATAGTGCTATTGTGCCTTAATCGCAGATTAAAACGCGAAATTATACGAATCTCGAACTAGAATACCCGTAGCGGCCCGTTTTAAGGAATCCCGAGTCAATCCAAGCACGCCGCCTCAAATTGCCTATCCTCTTTGTGGCGGCCATATTTACAGAAACATAATTAAACTTCATGTTTAGGCTGATGGCTTTGCCAAAACCTTAATAAATTAAAAAAAAATTGTTCAATTTCACTCAGCAAATAATTAAAATCAATTGGTGACACTCTACAAAAATTTGAAAACTCTCCAGCATTCTCATGGAGCATTACTTAAAACATGTTCTTCATAGTTTGCATGTAACGAACTTAAGTGAGTAGGCATTTATAAGCATCTGGAAATAGTAAATTTGTTGTTTATACAAATACATAACACGAGTTCTCACGCTCAACTTTAAGGATCGTATTCCAGAACTGTACTCAATGTTCAAGTCAGGATTTGAACAGCCTTGAGTATGATTTGAAGCACTGGAAATACGACCCTAATGGCAAGGACTTGAGTATGATTTCTAGTGCTTTGAATCATACTCAAGTCCTGACTTGAGCATTGAGTAGAGTTCAAGAATACGACCCTTAGAGCATGAGACGTTACAAAATGTTTAGTTAAAACTACTACATAAGCAGGTATTTGGACGATCATAGTGCGATGACAAGTTCTCGTCGCGTCGCGTTTACGTCCACGGTGGAGGAGTTATTTTTTTCCTTTTTTTAAAACTCCATAAACGGAATGCGCACGCCGCTGCAGCCTCCAAATCCTTCATTTTCGTGTGCGAGAGTTTGAAAATTAATGGAACATCACTCAAATGTGGGAACTGTATTTCGCGTCAACCACTCGACACGAACGTTTCGTCGATTGTATCGACGAGTGGCGATGCGAATAGCGAGCATGATAGTGTAAATGCAGTATTACTATTTATTTATTTGTTGAGCATTGGCTATAGAGCCATCAGCTTAAACAAGCTACAAGTAATTAAGGGTCGTATTCCAGAACTCTACTCAATGCTCAAGTCAGGATATGAGTATGATTTCAAGCAATGGAAATACGACACTAATGGCAGGGACTTGCGTATGATTTCGAGTGCTTTAAACCATATTCAAATCCTGACTTGAGCATTGAGTAGAGTTCTGGAATACGGCCTTAAGAAACTCAAAACGTAATAATACTTCTAAAAACTAATTTGTGAAAAAACTAACTACAAATACCGCCATTCTACGCTGTATGGACTGAATATTATCCGGTACGGTAAGCTCAACGTGTAATGTATGACGCACATTTGACTTGACAGTTGTTTACAAAAATTGTTTATGGTTCATCACTTGGAAGATAAAAATACTTGGTGCGATCGACTTGCATTTCGATTTTATTATTTTGTTAATTTTCTGTTTTATTTATTAATTTAACATTTTGAATGTTGGCTATAAGGTGTTTATAAATAATTTTTTCTTTGTTTTTCGAAAAGTCATCCAAGCGATATGTCTTCTCCACGCCCAAAGTCACCCCGTACACCCGTTTTGCCTAAAAAGGAAGAGAAGGAAGAGTCTTTTTGGGATAAAATCGGCACCATTGGCCGTAAGAAGCGGATAAAGGAAGGTAAGTGGTTGTATAGCTTCTTTCAGTGCACATTTGTGCCGCGAAACAGCGTGGGCGGATATTGAAGCCATGAACTCACGAGTATTACTTCATCTGGTTGCCCATTGACCTATTTTACCTGTTTCTCCAACGTACGGATGTTACACCAGAGCTATTAATATCACTATTATTTTAACGCCACCTTTTTCTTTTAGACACACAAAGCCACACCAACAACCTTGCACATTTATAGCAATGATTATCTGGCTTAGATTGGACATGTTTGCCCTCCAGTTTTTTTTCTCTTTGCGAATGTGGATTGAGGAAGATTTCCTAGAACATTTATTTTTGACTGCCTCTAAATAAGTTTCCCATTTTAATAATTTTCTCAAAACATTCCCCTCCCAATCAGTAGTAATTATTTTGCTCATTTGCTGCCACACACATAATTGTAATTTTGGCAAAATTTTATTAAGTATGTTAACACATCTATAACCTAATAAGTGTTTGTGTTTGAAGAAAAATTGGCAGTAATTTTAAATTGATATATATTGTAAAAATACGCAAAGTTTAATTGACACATCATATATTTGAAATAAAATTCAATTCCTCCAATCCTGTAACATTACAAGAAGTACAACTGCGTCAGTGAAGCAAATGAGCTCATTTCCTGGTCAATGCCCACTGTGCACTAATATTTACTTTGTATAAATTTCTAAGACTTACAACACAAAATTACAACCAGCAATTAATTGCTTTATACTGATCATATTTTATTCCAACTAATGAATACTAAGCAAAGAATCACTTGAACCTACACAAAACCTTTAAATAACTGCCAATTTGTATATTTACTTCATCACAGCTTAATAACTGCAAAAACCTCTCAAAAACCATCAATCTGTGTCAAGTTAGTACTTGGTCTTCCAACCCTAACATTAGTGGATTCTTCACATAAAACAGTGGAGCCATATTCAAACAAAATTTGACTTGATTAGAAATGATATTCATAGTCATACTTGGCTTTGAGGTCACTGTAATGACAATTTCTTTAGTCCATAATTTATTTTAGTACAATCTGTCTCTATTTTGATTCTAGTACAAGATGTGCAAGCGGAAGGCAAGTATGCAATAGACTCACCTGGCAGTCCCACTGCACCCGAGTTCCCACCAGAAGATTACAGTTTACGTAAGTCTGCTTCTTGTTAGTACTACCTACATATTTCATGAAGGTCCAGAAATGGATTTTTGGTAACATTTATAAAAAATTTCAGATGATAATGAAGAACGGGCTATCATAGAACCTCGTTCTTTGGAGGACCCTAGAGTGAAAGAACTGATTCAAGTATTGATTGACTGGATCAATGATGAGCTGGCACAACAGAGGATCATTGTTAAAGATATCAGCGAGGATCTTTATGATGGGCAGGTTTTGCAGAAACTGCTGGAGAAGTTGACTGAGAACAAGTTAGATGTGCCAGAGGTGACACAGTCAGAGGAAGGGCAGCGTCAAAAGCTTGCTGTAGTCTTAAGGGCTGTCAACAGAGTAAGTAAAATAACATTTCTGCATGTAAGTAACTAGTCAAAACTGTAGAACTATTTTATAAAACTAACTGTTTTTTAGTATTATGTGGTTTGTTTTATTGTATTTCAGTACTTTTGTAAGGATGTAACTGTATGTCAATAGTTCTAGCTCCATCAAATAAGGAATATTTGAGAGTGATTTAATCACTCTTGCTTGTTCAACAACTATTCTCAGAAATTGCTTTTATACTAAGTTGCACTTATTAGCATATAGTTGATATTTAGTTATAATTTTTATTTAAATTTTGTAGGTACTGTATGGCACTACAAAGCCTGCCCAGAAATGGAGTGTGGATTCTGTTCACTCTAAGAATGTGGTGTCAATTCTGCACTTATTAGTAGCACTGGCACGGCACTTCCGCGCGCCTGTACGCTTGCCTGAAAATGTTAGTGTGAATGTCGTGGTTGTGAAAAAGGACGCTCCTAATCAACTTTCTCATCGGTAAATGAAGTTTTCATATTTGTATGTAATTAAAATTAGACCCAGATTTTTGTCCTAGAGAATGTCCTTCAACAGGAAATGAAACTATTTTTCTGGAATTAAATCGCGTATCATGGTCACGGTTGACCGAGGTGGTAAAATCATCAAAGAGATATGTCTAATGTTAATGCAAATCACCATATTTTTCTTTATTTTCTTTTGTTTTAGTTACGTTAGTTAGACTAATGTCTAATTAAAAAATTTAATTTAAAAATTTTCAAAATATATTCCAATTTACACTACATATATGTTTTACAAAGTATTTTATTTCAACAATATGAATTTTTGTGAAATTAAATTTATTATAATTAATAATGGAAATTAGAATAAATTAAAAACATATTAATTAGTACTGCAGTCTTGTCTGGGATTTTTAGTCACAGGAAATACTGGATCCCAAACTGGTGGTATAGAGAAACCATCTTCCCTGTTGAAATTAGGATGTTTTTTATTTCAATGGTCTTTCGCAGCATCCTGGGTAAATAACAGACTTTTTTTGCAAGGACCTGGAGTTTGTCAAACTTAACTGAATGTGTAGGTTTATGCATAACATGCTTGCCGGCTGCAGACTTGTTTACGCGATAATGTTGACATAAGCTATGCGTTCTTTGACGCGGGTACAAATATTTCGCTTCGTTTGTCCAATACAAGAGAGATTGCACTCGCAGTCTCAGGAAGTGAGAAATCTTCCTCAGGGGTTTGAATTAGGTTAGGACGCACGCCTGATGACTTATTTGATCTTGTCTGTAACACCTCTCACATAAGGTAAAGTGGCAGGTCTTTGCTCATCTGTTGGTGATTTCACGCGGCGTCTGGCATGGAATCTTATTCGCATGTAGAACTTGCTTTATATGCTGAAGTTCCCTGCCAGATGATTACTGTCGCAAACGCCATGTACCAAAAATTTTCCCAAGGTAGCTGAGAAGGTAGCTAGAACTGTTAGTATGTCCTTTAGATGAACATCCCAAGCACACATAAGACTGCAGTACTAATTAATGTTTTTAATTTATTCTAATTTCCATTATTAATTAATAAAATTGGGGTGCTCTTTAGAAAATTTTAAAAATAAGGTACTTGGTACTTGGTGTAACGGGCTAGTGTCCGCAACTCGACGTCATGGCGCCTATTTTGCGTGTGGTAAAAATAAGGTATTTAATTAGTACCTTTTGTAACTATACTGAAAAATATTAGACATAACTGGTGTGCATTAATATTCAACATAACTGGTTGATAACTTCACAATCGTGACCATGATTTCGCGATTTAATCCGGAAAAATAGTTTCATTTCCTATATGTAATAATCGCGAAATCTAAGAATTAATATGTTCTTCAATATTTCAGGACATACATTGAAGATATAACTACAACTTACGATGATCTTGGGATGAAATGTGAGAGAGATGCATTTGATGCTCTTTTTGATCATGCTCCTGATAAACTCCAAGTTGTTAAAAAGGTAACTTTGTTACAATGACTCATCATGACACTAAGATGTGTCATTTTATAAAACTTTGTAATACCCTTGTCAAACATAATAAAATGGAAAGAAGAATGAATAATGTGTTTCAAGATTTTAAGTATCTCATCTAGCAACTTTATGCACACAAAACAACTGCCTCCGTGGCCGAACGGTTACGATCCTGGACTGTCACGCAGAGGTCCCGTCCGAGATTACAATGGTTGATATATTTGTTTTCTTTCTAGTCACTTATTACCTTTGTGAACAAGCATCTCACCAAGGTGAATCTCGAAGTCACAGACCTGGATACTCAGTTTCATGATGGCGTCTACTTGTGTCTTCTCATGGGACTTCTGGAAGGGTTCTTTGTACCATTGTATGACTTTTACCTTACTCCTCAGGACTTTGATCAGAAAGTCCACAATGTCTCTTTTGTATTTGAGTTGATGCAGGATGTTGGTCTTGCTAAACCTAAGGCGAGACCAGAAGGTAAATTGTTTATAAAAATTTTGTGACATATTCGAATGTGAATGTGCTATTTTTTTACTTATTTGTTTTTTTTTTCAGATATTGTCAATCTCGACCTGAAATCTACTCTACGTGTTTTGTACAATCTTTTCACAAAGTACAAGAACATGGCTTAAGACTTCGATAGGTACTAGTACCTAAGTACATTAATGCCATATTAATACATTATACTGAACTAACATTTGTGTTCATGGAATTAAGAGAGGATTAACTTTTGATTTGTATTTTTAATAATATTCATTTTATATTAAATGTAAAAAATGTGTAATGGTGCCTTGTTAAAGTAAGAAATTCTATATCTTAGAACAAATGTTTTCTACATCTCAGTATTTAATACTTAATAAATAAAATACTAACTACAAAAGTTTTTTAATTTAATAGTAATTAAATGATACCTCGGTTATGAACAGAGTAGTTTATTTACTAAAATACACGATATTACAATGTACCAATACTTTATATGAAAATACGTCAATTCATTGGAAAGATATTGAAAATAAAAACTATTCGAATTCGTACACACAAATACATCCCAGTACTTCATAATTGATGTTGTTTCCAAACAGTTCCATTTTTTATAATAATGCATACTCAAATTATATAACATACCAAACCACTTTTTGTTGATTGACTCATTTTGTATAATTTAATTTATATGGGCGAGTTAAGTATGAAATTGCCGATATGATAAATTGCAAAGAAATCTGTGGTAGAGACTTATACTGCCAAACACACTACACGAAATTCAGTTAGAAACCATTAGTCACCCTCTGACGTATACAAAATGGAATTCCCTTTAATGCTGAACTAGAACAATAATGTACAAGGAAAAGAGATGTGTCCGGGAAATAGCAATTATTACTTTATGTAATTGTTTATTTATAAAACGGCAATTATACACTTAAACACCTAACATTAAAATTGTAAGCGAAATATGATCCTAATGAATCATAATTATAAAGAAAAAGTCTAAAAGATTGCAGACTGGCGGGTCCAGCACAAACAGTCAACAACCATAATCAAATCACAGACAATTTAAGTCGGTAGATCTTTTTCCGCAACAAAAAATAAATTATAATTAGTTTACGTTTCACGCATACATTTTTTTTTAAATGCGGCTGAGCAGAAATACATAGCTTCAACCAAAATTACAAAGCAAAACTAAAATACTGATTTGAGATAAACAGAAATATTGAAATAATATTGCACATAATTGTATATGTAATCTTCCGGTACCTGCAATATGTCGATTTTATATTATATAGAATTCTGTAACATAATAATAACTACAGAAAATGTACAAAATATTAATTGGCTAACACATATAATGTCTCTAAAATAAAATTAAAAAAAAATCGGCGGTTAAATTTGTAAACCTCGTAATCTCCATTAATGTGAACTTTTAGTTGGCACAAAAAATTACTAGAAATAATTATATGACAATGTATGATTATAGAGTAAAAAAAAAAGAGATTTCGTCCAAAAACGGAGTGACGAGATTTTCAAATTTCGCCGATGAAATTATTACAAATTGAATTCAAATATTATTATACCTGTTATTCAAAGAATTATGTAAAACACTTTACTTGCAGTTTTTAACAAATTCGTAAATTCCTACTTAGCTGGAGAATTTTAAAGAACCTGTTCTTTTAAATTAAGTATAAGTAGGTGTATTTATATATTTCGTAATACTTAAAATAAGCTGCGTTATTTCAACAATGTTAATATTTAAAAAGTAGATTGTTTTGTTTGATGGCAGTTACATGTTTTTAATAAACATGTAATTTGATCTAATAAGCTGCCAACAAATAAGCCTAACACAACCAGCGGCCTACGAAAACATAATTAATTCTACAGTTTAACGCGCCACTTTCGCAAAAGCTTATTTAATATAAAACATGAGTATTACATATAGTTTACATATCTAGCAAGAATTATTATTGGTCTTACATTTTCTTATCATAATGATTTATTTGCGTCTGTAATGGAATGTGTATGAATTATTCTTCGCGAGGTAGGTACCTACTCGAACATCATAAATGAATCGCCACGATCGCCGATTCGATTAGATATAAATAAAACATTTCAATACATAGGGAACAATACTTAATCCTTATTTACTAAAATACAAGCACTAATCAAAATAATAAGTACGCGTTATATTGCTAATTGATACGGATCGATGACCCTGTATATCGATAAAATTATTTTACCATGATGCACCAAATAAACTTTGCGATGAATACCATGATTAGGTTAACCATAAAATTATATTATTTCGTTAATTTTACAAGCCTTTAACATCGTATCCACTAATAATAAATAAGATATAATATAACGTTCCTAGTTAGCTGCCGTAGCAACGACTCTCTCGTGTTAGCTTAAAAATCTCGACCACCTCTTTCTGAGGCACACTTCTGTTTTCTATCGGATAAATTTCGGAGAGTGTGCGAAGGAATTTTACAATTTCGTCTGCTTATTGCAAGAAGTCATTAATTGCTATATAATTGATATGGCAATTAATTATATACCAATTAATGACTTCTTGCAATAAGCCGACTATTTACTTTCACGCTCACCGTTCCTCTTCAGGTCGATCGGAAAGTCCGGAACACTTCATCATTATGTTACTGACGTACTACAACCCACTCGCATTAAGCGCTTTGTTTTGGGTAGGTTCTTTATACGCACGACAAAGAAATGGGGGTACACTATAGGCATTTGTTTTCCGATAACATCAGCTTAAGTGAGGTTGTGGTCAAGTGATTTTTACTTTTCATAGCGAAATAATTAATAAAATATATTTTTAAGTAGTAACAAATGGAATATTTATTTACTCATAAATTTTTATACGTTGATAATCTGTGGAAAGCCCTTTTCACAAACTTACTTGCTTTATCTGTTATGTCATGTAAATTGTACGAGTAGTTCTTGTAGGCAACGTCCTGTTTTTGTGATTAACCTTCACGTTGAGAACGGAGTTTTATTTCGTATTATTACTCGTATGGTTCTTGTTATCAGTCTACTAAAAATTTGACACCATATTAAGTGTCACGTCATATAATATAGAAGTTGGCTAAGAATTTTTAAAATTAAATCTGGTTAAATGTCGACTACATATGAAAAAATTACGATGTGATTAAATTTAATACTACGCTAAGGCTACGATATTCCAAGATTTCCTTTGTCTTTTCAGTTCATGGCAGACAAAATGTACTTACTTATTGGTTGTAATTTTTTTTGTAGAATGTTATTTATTCACAGGTGTTCATTACCATTTATTGTGATATTTAAGTAATACCGCTACCAATTCTTATACGACTTTTGTTACAATCTAAAAAGTAATAAAGCTACACATATCTACGTCATTTTACTAAAATTTTATAAAAGATTACTACCACAATGCGTTGGTATGGTTGGCATCATGAGTTCTATGGAGTAATACTAAAGTGAACTAATTGAATTACTGAAATCTATTGCTTTTTTAGTATTCTAGCTTAGTTACAGTAAAATGCTTATTGAGAACGCTACTCCGCGAATTTTTTCTTGGGAATATTATGAAACAACGAGAAACTCGTCGAGTGTGGTGATTATTCAAATTGCCACATTTGAAATTCTTATTATGTAATTTGAGTCAGAACTCGAGGCGAATTTTAACAAGTGCAGAACCCCGCATCAAGAGCAGAATACGAAAAAGTGTTTCAATAAAATCATTCAACGTCGTCATCATCATCGATAAAAACTTTCTTATAAAATCTTCAAAATCCAACTAACGCAAATCACGATTGTAAAGTGGTCAACGTTTCAACGATAACAAAATTTAAGTTATGTACTTGTGAATCGAAACAAAAAGGGTTAGAATTTGTCATGAGTGTTAGCGAGAGAGAGAGGTCAAATTTGATCAGATGGGTGATAACGGTGGTGTTCGCTACGAGGGTTTGCGGGGTGCCGTGGGGAGATCCAGAGACGTAGAAGACTCACGGCGTAGGATCAACTTCAGTTTCTCGTCTTCTTCTAAGTCCTCTTCGACTGAAATGGCGCGACTCAGCTCGGTGTGGCCGAGAGCACGAGCTCTCCACGATTCTAGCCTTTTGACCTACACCGAAAGATTATATTAGACAGTAAATTAACAGTCGCAAACTAGTGAACGAAAATAGGTCCTACTTACCCAACACATAAATGTATAAAAGTGATAAGTTACAGTACTAACATTGTTTATTTAAACGTCCGAGGTAGCGTAAAGCTAATGTATAAGCCATAGAGCGTTGTAAACATGCTGTGATCATGCAGTGGAGGTGCAAATTAGTGTTGTTATAGTGATGGTAGGAATGGGTAACATATAAAGTGTGGTGATAAAAACACTAACTACAAACGAAAGCTGGCACAAAAAAAGAGCGGCAAATTTGTTAAATCTTGTGCGTGCAACACTAAGCAGTTAGGCAAACAGCAGGCTTAACATGAGCCCGAAGACAAAAGTTATCTCTTCTCCGAACTGCCAATTTTCTCACGAAAATGACGTTTTAAGTTGCAGTGCATACAAATGTCAAATGAAGAGAATTTCTGTAACTGTAGCACTACGGCCAAACTTTGTATACTTTTGCGGTTCGCTACAATAATAATTAATAGTGATTTTGTACTTTTTCACATCAAAGGACAATCGAACTTATCAGCTATCATATTCAAGATATTTTTTCGGTTTCGTGCTAAGCGTACTGAAATTTTTAAATTACGAACTCTCAAAGTACTTTTGGCTGATCATAGAGTTGCTGTAATAAGATTTTGAAAAAATACGTTGTGCCAGCTTTCGTTGGCCAGACTCTAACCATAAACACAGTACATCATTCATGCTAGTTGTATAAAATATTAATGTACATTTTACGCTTAGTGTATTCGCTAATACAACAATAAGCGACAAATTAACGTATTTTACGTCAAATCAATAAACGTATCACACCTTCTATAACTACATATCCAAAATGAATTAATTTTCAGTTCCGACACATAAAAATGATACGACTATTACGACAATTTAAAGTTATTCGCCATACACGTGAATAAATAAATCGCTGAAAAATGTTGTGTGATAACCCGACTACATTAGACTTCTTATAACATTCTTATGCATACATTGACGGCTTGAGTGAATAACTTATTAAATTTTAGAATAAATTAATAACGCTAAGAAGAAAATAAAAACGTGTTAATTTATTTGTAATAACAATGTGGAATAAGGGTTGGGTCTTGGAAGTTTTTCAAAACACAGGTCGTAAAAGAATATTGTCGGGTGACCACACAAATGGATAACTTGTGAAACTTACTCGAGCCATTTCCAGGGCTCACTGTCCGGACTGGTGATCGGTGTCGGGAGCTGCATTCAATCCATAACATTGTTCCAGAGGTGCAATTCAAAGGATTATTATTTATATAATTTTTATTCAAGATTCAATTGAAGTTACATGAGGTACAGCCAAAATATCTAAGTCGTGTTTGCCTTGCTTCCAAATATTTTATTACCATACAATTTTATAGTTCGGCTTACAATTGAACAAAAATTTACCTCGATCGAATCTCGAATCTAACGTGCTGTGTGATGTAACGTCGACATAAGAAAATCGTAATGTCCCTAACACAGGAACGAAATAAAGAAGAAATTCGTACTTTTACCAAATCAACGTTTGAAAATATGAAGTTTATATAGATATTATATAGACTTTTCGAAAAACTCCAGACGTGTTGAGTCTTATTCCTAAATATTAAACCATAATTACTTGAGTGATTGTGTGTTTAAATTCCAAACAAATAAAGCAAAGATGTTGTCTATAGGAAGCCTGTGACCCTGTATTTGACAGCGCTAGTGATGTGACACTCTGTGAAACCGCATTAGTATTAGTGTAGTGCTTGTTATTTACATTTTGATATAATCATGTTTTGAAAAGCAAAGCGTCGACACATGAAGTGTTTTGCATTTAAGTCTGTAATAAATATTATTGCAAAGACACAAAACCAAGTTACGTTGCGTAGATGTTACTTTTATTCTGTATTAATTAGTGTTAAATTTGGCAAAGAAGCGCGCACTGCATTTAAAGTATCATCATGAATTACTACTACGCTTGTCACTTGTGTGGACATAAGCGAGTTCTGATCATATATATTTTAACGTAATTGGGGTCAGGTGGGGTAAGAGGAATACCGGGGGAATAGAGACTTGAAGCCTAATCTAAAGAGTTTAGCATATAGTCTCATTAGATAGTTCAAACGACTTTAAAGAGATATCGCTGCGATGCTTCAAATCCAAAAGGCGGAAAAAATAAATTTGATAGTTGTGAAATACATTACCCTTATAAGACATACGTTGACCGTTCCTCTTATCCCATCTTTTGGGGAAGAGAAACGTTCGCACAATTTACATGTTTTTGGCAAATACATCGTAAGTATTGAATTTAGCGCAATGATTGTTTATAACACGTGAAGCTGATAAACAAAAGCAAGTTTAGTGTACTTTAAAATTCTTATAAAACTTCACCTGTTCTTCCTAAAGCATTTCATTTATAATAAAGTGTGCGCCGTCTACCCAACCTGACTATATAAACATATTAAAATAACGTGGGTTGATTTTCGTTCTCGCCATGTTTAAGAAATTAATAATAGAAATAATGCTAAATCAACTTTATATCTAGTAACTAGTAAAGTTTTGTAAAATTGACCGTAAATCGTAAGAACCGCGCGCGGGCAGTGACCCCGCCACCGGCTTCACCGAGCGATACGTAATCTTTCTCGATCGCCTATTTACCTTATATTTTTATTATGATTATTTACTCGTATTGTTATAATTTACTAATTATTTACAATAATTAGAAAAGTTGACTGAAAAAAGCTTTTGTAACTTAGATTTGGTACTTACCAACTTTAAGTTACGTGAAAGTATTGCTGGAAGTGTCGACCACCACCGGCTATACAAAGATTCGCACGTTGCCGAGAGTTTCGTTTCAACTTTCTGGGCACTAGCACATTGAAAGCAGTAACGATTTTTGCGCACAATTCTTCGACTCTCGTAATCTCTTCCGCGTAAACTAAAATTTGCCGTCCATAATGATCACAATTTGACGGTATGACAGGTACTGGTGAACCTGGTGGCGTTTCTTTTTTGCACTAAGGGCGCGCTCAAATTAGCCGCTGTTAGAAGCGCGGCAGCCGCGCGACGTTCGCCTGAAGTGCGACCAAATTTTCACATCCCTTTTTTTATTCGATCGATTCAGTCGATTGGAATAACTGGAAGAACTGCTATCCCATTTTGCAGGGTGTTTTACATTCTCTATAAATTCTTCAATTCAATTTTCATCCATCGTGATTAATTTGAAAAATTAATATGTACACCTCATTAACCGTGATTGCAACCAAGCGTGACTGCAGCGCGACTGTCGCGTGGCGCGGTTGCAGCGCTTCTAAAAATTGTATGAAACGTAATAGTCTGCTGCTGCACCCTAACTCTTGTTTACATTACAAACCACGCGGCATTTCGCGAGACTAGAATTGCGGCGGGCTCGGGCTCGGCTATCCCATTTATCCCAGTGCGAAAGCGAGCGCAAGGCGCGGGCGTTTAATGCGTTTGAGAAAGAGATAGCAACACTTTGGCGGTTCCTTTATCGGCCCGCTGCGCTATAAGTTTTGGTAACTCCTGTCTTGCAAGTTCATTCACCTTTGATTTTTGAATTTGAATGCGAATCCATGTTTACCACAATTAAATGAAAAATAAGAATTTATGTCTTTTTACGATTAGTTTTCAGTGATTTGGATGACCTCTGTAAATGTGGCGAGAACGCAAACCAAGACATTGTATATAAATAAATGCAATTATGTACAACTTTCGATACATGTTAGTGCTTGTTAATAACAACTTGAAGCTGAAAGTATCATCAATCTTCACGAAAGTGACATCATTCATATGCGACAACCCGGTGTGCTAAAATTTTCTAACAATAATTTGGTTCACATAGAAAGCGCAGTGACAGTACTTGATAATCAATGTTCGGAATAACGACTGTGAACTGGCAACCGGTACTATCTCAATTTTTGAAAGATTTAACTTTTTAATGCCATTTTATACTATTCTCATACTCCGTAGCGTTGCAAGAAATTACATTGTTTTAATAAACCAGATGCTATATAAATGACGCAAACATGTTTTTTCTTCATCCTGTAAAGTTGTCAAAATTCCTCAATTTTACTATTTACTACCGGTTGCCAGTTTACAGTCGATATGCTGTGTATTTACGTAAACTTGTAAGTAATACACACAGTAAATAATAACTCCCTTTGAAATAGCTGAATTACTGTTTTTACTTCTATATTTTTGGTGGGTAACTAGCAAATACTACGGTAGTAAATTTAGGAGTAAAGTTTTGTCATTGTAAGTAAAAATATGGCATATTTTTTGTTTTCGCGTTTTATTTTTATTCATTCCGGCATTTCAGAGGGAGGTATTATCCACTATATGCATATTATTTGATGTTTTCGTAAATATTCTCTGCCTAAATGCGATCTGTCATCGTTCATCTTGATGACCTGCATGTCGGTTCACAAAACTCGAACACGTAAAATCCACAACCTGTATTGGGCCAGCGGCTTAATCATTGTCCTTAAAGGAGACTCCGTGGTCAGAAGTAAGATGTAGAGTTCGTTGATGACAACATATAAAATTCATAGCAGATATATAAAAACTTAACCAAATATTTTACAGATTAACGTCGTTTGTTAAACTTACAGGTAATACTTGAAATTATTTAGTTTAACCAGAGTAAAACGTTTTCGACAAAACACAAGTGTCACTTCAGGGCTACTGACTGTACCTGAAAAGCTTTTCGAGGAACCAATACATAATAGGCGCCCTCAATGAGCTTTTATTTAGCAAAGCAAGCAGTTTTACCTCAGATTGTAGTTCTGCAATGTACTCGGACATCTTTTGAACTCTTTCAGACTCTTCTACGTGGTACTGAAGAAGCTCGCTTTCCGTTGCGTTCACTTCATTCTGTGGAGCATAATTTTGAATATGAATATGCGAGCTGTTTCGGTGTGACGTAATATCAGGATGTATATTAAATGCGCAGTTATGGTCAACGTTACCTTTAGTTTATATTCGGAGACTTCACTTTCAAGCTCAGCTATTCTTTGTGCGTCTTCCATATTCTTAATGTTGGCTTGCATTGAATCGTACTTAGCCTGAAATTGAAAGTTTACTATTTTTTCACAATTACCTTTATTTTTTATAACATCAAGTGATGGGACGAAAGAGTCGTGCGCCTGATGGTAAGGGCACTCAGAGCTTTACATCGTAAAGATCTGAGGAGCACTACCACTGCGCCCGTCACCTAGACAAATAAGTTGACAAGTCCCATGTGCCTGTAATTTCACCAGCACCCTTACCCTTCAAAACCAGAACACTGTAATGCTAACATTACTGCTTGGAGGCAGAAATAGTAAAGGTGGCAGTACTACCCTGGACGAACTCTTCCACGAGAAGCTCTACTGTAAACTAGTTGTTGACGGTTAGAAATCCTGTGGCGGTATGTACCTATAACACGTATCGTATACGTGTTACAAACATCGACATACTACTGCTTTTCAAAAATAGTGTTAATTTTTTGTGTTATTATTGTAATGATTTTATGTACATAATTAAAGTTGCATTAACAACAGCATTACAGTTCTAATTAAATCTATTATTTAGTAGCCGATTCGGAACTTCTGTTGGACATAGGATAATGTCGCACTTTTACTATAATCTTATTTAAGTCGTACCCCAGGAGTCTGCACGATGCCTGATGGCCGAATGTCATGTTTTTTTATTATATTTCTACATTGCTGCCGAATCAATCACCGTACCAATTAGCAAAGCTCTTCAAATTAATCAAATAAAATTTATATCATATACAATGTAGACATTTTTTGCACTCAAAATGATTGTTTAAAATATTCACGTGAAAACATGAGCCTGTATATACTTCGACTGTTCTAATACAGCCCGTTGTACTTACCTTGCTTTCAAGGTCGGAGCACTTATGTTGTAATTCTCTTTGACGTGTTTGCAAGGCGCGTTCGCGCTGCAGAGCCGCATCGAGGGTCTCTCTTAGCTGGCGTGACTCCTCGTCCTGCCGCCGCAGCTGGTTCGTCGACACCTGTACTTGCGTCTCCAGCTCCATCACCTATAATAAGAAAAACGTATCATCAAACTGGCACAGTTCTTGTAACTAAACTAAAGAATTTGTATGATTGTTAGCAGATAGAATACAAACAGAAACAACCGGATATGACAAAAGATGAGGTGAACAAACGGGATACTGTTACCCGTTAACGGAAAGTACAGATTGACGGAGTGAGGTTTTAACTCACAAAATCTTCATATCTTGCTCAGAGAAAGCGATTAAGTACTGACGAGGAAAAGTGCGGCCACATTAAGTCGATGTTGAGGACGGTTACACAAAGGCTGGTTTCGTTTCTGTTTTATTTTGTTGATCTCAAGTGCTGGGTTGAACGAGTCGAGTGCCTGGAGATAATGGACAGATATATCACACATACACATACATAGCAGTTGTAGTGCCACTCAGAGCTTTAGATCGCAAAGATCTTAGGGGCACTACCACTGCGCCCGTCAACCTTAGTACTACATGCCTGTAATTTCACAAACACCCTTTGAAACCGGAATGCAATAATGCTCATATTAATGCTTGGCGACAGAAATAGTTATGAGCTCTACTGCTACTTAAAAACTTAAATGCTTACTTTGAGCCTTAGTTCTTTTAACTCTGTGAGCGTCTCCACCTCCCGAATCCTAGTGGACATGAGCTCTTCTTCAAGCTTTTGCACGTCAGTAGAACGTCCCTCCCATGCTCGGAGCAGTTTTTTCGGAGTGGCCATTATGTCCGACACCACGTTGGATTGCACCGGCGGAGGCGCCGCTTCTTGTCTATGCTCCTAATTAAACAAAATACAAAGTAATATGGTTATACAAAGTAATAATGATATCGCACTGCTATTACAATAGTGTTGTAACTCAAAATATTATGTTAAATTCAAGATTATATTATTTCCGAAAGCAAAAAATTATTCTCTACCCGTCAATAAAACAGCCGTTAGAATATTTTAAGAAACAATCAAAAGATATCAATTTAAACCGAGACATACTTTCTGTGAGCTAGTTCTGAATAAAACAGTCCTTACTCAGAAACATAAAATTGGTTTTTACCTTTAATTTTTAAATATGTTTGGAAATTGTTTAGATGCCTGTAATAAACTTTAACCTACATAAATTTTGATAGTCTTTCACGGGAAGTGAGTACCTAATTCGTTTTACATCGATTCTGAAAAAAATACTCTTTTTGAGTTAATACACTACAGTATTAACAGTGCGATATAATAATTTACGCGCTTCAAAACTTGAGCACTTATGAGTGATGTACGGGCGGAGGCCGAGCGTTGCGAAACACGGGAAAACTAAAATCTGTTGCCCATCGTACCGAACTCGCAACGAGAAATCCGCGGGTAATAGGTTCCCGGTTGAACGAACATCTACCCACAAACCTGAATAGTGTTACAAACGACGAAACGTTTAATACTCGACTAAAACTCGTTTTATTGGATAATGAATTCTACAGTGTCGATGAGTTTCTTTTGAAACTATTGTAATTTTGCTTTACTTGACTTCGTTGTATTTAGACAAGCACGAGTTGTACTACTTTATTTTATATTAATAATTATTGCTTGCGTTGGTGATAAGTATAGTATTAAGTGACAGGACGAACAAGTCGTGTGCCTGATAGTAAGCTACACGCCTATCCATAACAATTGCAGTGCCACTCAGAGCTATAAATCGCAAAAATCTGAGGGGCACTGCTACTGCGCCCGTCACCCTGAGACATAAGTTGACAAGTCCCATGTAATTTCACCAACACCCTTACCCTTGAAAACCGGAACACAGTAATGCTAACGTTACTGCTTGGCGGCAGAAATAGGTAAGGTGGCAGTACTTCTCTGGACGAACTCTTTCACAAGGAGTTCTGCCGTTACGAAAAAAATATCGCGATACAGGACGCTTTTATGTCGCTTTTTCATAAAAATTAAGTAATTTAGATGATTTGCTGAGTAAAATTACAATTAAATTCATTTAAATTATAACATTTTAATTACCTACATGAACATCGTCACCCTGAGACATAATTTGAAGTCCCACGTGCCTGTGATTTCACCAGCACCCTTACTCTTCAAAACCAGAACACAGTTTTGATGATATTACTTCTTGCGGCAGAAACAGGTAAGGTGGCAGTACTTCCCTGGCCGAACTCTTTAACAAGGGGCTCTACTGCTACTTAATATTACCGTTCGACATTGTATTTTTAATTGTAATAGTGTGACAGTGATAAATGAAATAAATGATTCGATTCTATGATTATTGATTATATTCCATTCTAAATAGACGATGGAAACAATTTCATAATCCCTTAACTTTTGTTTTTGATCACGACCAAAACGCCCCAAGTGTGATAATTTTACATCATCATCCCAGTTGTATAGCATAACATCAGACGTACAAAATCCTCCTATTGATACTATCGATACAGCGTCGATGGCAGGATTTTGTGCGCCTGGTATTCTACTAAAAGTTAATAGTTGCTTGTCAGTCACTATAGTACGTTCGTGTTAAGAATGCAGTGAGTCATCAGTCATCAAGGCGTATCACAGTGGAGTTAAAATTCAAACAAATTATATTTTTAAAGATGATGGTTCCATTAACCTAAAAATAAAATTAATGGTCTTAAATTTAAAAAAAATCGTTAAATTAATAAAATTAAATTTCAATGAGTATTAGTAGAATCTTCGTTCGTATTTATTACTTTAACCCTCAGACAGACCAAACGGTCTGTCCTTTAACAAGTCACTGTGAACTTGACTTTCAAATTTGGCGTGGCTAGGATGATGATTCACTGCATTCTTAACTTGAACGTACTATAGCCATCTTCTAGCTACTATTCGACTGCCATTGCAATTTTTTGGTAATTTGTTCTTCAATGGCTAGTCGATGCACGTCTATGGTTTACTAATATTACATATTTATAATTTGAAGACTAAATTGCTCATTAAACGAGATAAAAATTAAGTATGCATAGTAATTTCCATGGTTCACAGTTCTAATAAGGCAACATCGATCGTGTACGCAGGCAGAAGAGACTACTCTGCACGTTGCACTCCATTCTTTTCAATTCTCACTAAACCAGAATACTTGAAATGTAAATTTTAGTTATACGAGTTTTACGAAAAGATACTTTGAGTAACAAAACACAAGACAATTGTACAACAAGCTAATGATGCAAAAATAAACTATAGTTAAATATTTGTATATCAAGTAATTTGTAATACCTACCCTTTTATAAATTTGTTTTCGTTAAATAGAAACAGAAACTTGGTCGGAAGACAGTATTTTTATCACCTTTATCCAATAAATAAAAAATGCTAGAAAAGCAATGAATTCCTTTTATTAGACTGTCATCGCTTCATATTTACAATTCATTTAAAAGATCTATGAATTGCAAGCATGTAAGGGTCCATGCTTGCAATAGGGAATCGGACAATTTTTCAGAAAGTGTCTAGAATTAACTAAAATAGATATGTACAGCCATGAAAAATAATATTTTATTAAAATAAAGCTTAATAGTCTCTAAAATGTGCTAAAACTACGTTAAAATTTAAATAGAAACAAATTGGCGCGCAAACGTAACAAAATGTCAAATTGAACGCGTGACGTCATTTGTAGGTAAACAAGCTACGAAATCAAGGGCAAGGTGTTATTTTAAAGTTTTTGTGAAGTTTGAAGTCGTTATGGAACGGAAAACATATCGTTGGTGTGTAGTACCTCAATGTAGGAATACTTCTATAACTACCCCAAATAAACTATTTATTGATGTACCTCGAAAATCCGACATACGAAAAAATGGTTGGAAAAAAGGAACGAAAAAAGGACTGTACATTACCATCGCACGATTTGAGGGGTGGGAAATTTAGTTTCTCATATAACACAGGAAATGGAGATAGGGGGGAGGGTCTGGGTCTCAAATCGTGTGATGGTAATGTACAGTCCTTCCATCGCATGTAATTTTCCATATCATTCGGCAGCTAAAATCCGAATACATAATTATTACATTACATAATTAAAGGCACTAGTGAATATAACACAACATTTACTATATAATTATTAACACATGCTTCGATCTATGTATCACTCACTGCATAAAGTGTACTTACGTCGAAGTGATCCTCACAAAAGTATATCGCTGAATTTACAGACATTTCGTCGTGCTAGGACCAACCATTTTTTCGTATGTCGGATTTTCGAGGTACATCAATAAATAGTTTATTTGGGGTAGTTATAGAAGTATTCCTACATTGAGGTACTACACACCAACGATATGTTTTCCGTTCCATAACGACTTCAAACTTCACAAAAACTTTAAAATAACACCTTGCCCTTGATTTCGTAGCTTGTTTACCTACAAATGACGTCACGCGTTCAATTTGACATTTTGTTACGTTTGCGCGCCAATTTGTTTCTATTTAAATTTTAACGTAGTTTTAGCACATTTTAGAGACTATTAAGCTTTATTTTAGTAAAATATTATTTTTCATGGCTGTACATAGCTATTTTAGTTAATTCTAGACACTTTCTGAAAAATTGTCCGATTCCCTATTCATAATTCATACATTTTCACGTGCATTTCACTCAGTCGTTCATTCCATTTCTGAATACTAGCTATCTCCACTGTCTCTTTCCACCAGTGAGACTACAAGAAATTAGGGAAAATTATTTCTAAACCGGTAACACTGGTCGTATCCATTAATGCACTATGACTATTTCATTTTGACATAATAAGTTTGACAGTAGAAAAAACGAGACAAATATATTTTTCTTTGAAATTTCAATCAGCTTTAAAGCTAGTCTTTAATTTTCCAAAGTGGTATATACCACATTTTAGACAACTGTTTGTGGGACATTGCATCTATAGTATTATATAAATAATTGTATGTATCATATATAAATATAAGTAGTATATGTATTATGTATACAGATAATATGTATATGTTATGTTTGTTTCTTACATATTTCATTATAATATATATTTATTACATTTGTGTTATTATTAAATTATTAATTTCATATTTTGTATAATTTGTCGCAATTGTGAATTTCGTTTTCCTCAAAGGTTGACTGGTCGAGAATGCATTTAGCATTAAGCCGCCTTTTGTGCCATTATGTGTTGTGGTCACTAAAGTTTAATAAATAAACCCATCGTTAGAGATTTAAATGAATGTCACCACTGCCATTACACTGAGACTCTATTGCGGCTCAACTGCCATTGCAACGATTTTAGCTAGAGATGAGTTTTTACCCGATAAATATCCGTGTAAGGATAAGTAACCGACAAATATCCGTTTTTACTGAATATCTGCACTGATAATCTGAATATCCTAAAACATGGAAAATATTTTTGTGTTTTTTATAATAAAATTCATTAGAATTCATTTTTTATTAAATAATTACGTTTTTGCCATTCTTTTATGTAACAATACTATTCTGCCTACGTTTTTCGAGTCAAGTGGTATAAAAAAATCGATTGACAGAAAGTTATCAAATTAACTGTAACCCTCGAGCTGACCAATCCTGCGTTAATAAAGTGCATTCCAACTTTACGGTTTTGAGGTCTACTGCGTACTAAATAAAGTCATATTCGGATTTGAAATAGCCTAAGGATTCTCTTTCACATTTCACACACAAAATCTATTAATTAAAACACATGATATAAAAAATAAATATTTATATCTGTGTAATCACACAAAGTGTTTTAAAAATATACTTTATTTTACTAAATGAAAATAATAAAATATTAAATTAACCACGATGAAAAATATTTATCCACGTTTTGGGATAAATATCGAGTAAAAACGGATATTTATCCTGAGTATTTATCCCAATGATATTTATGCATGACCCATCTCTAGTTTTAGCAGTATAACAAACATTATCATAATAAACATTATCGCAATATAATTTCAGTGGAGTCTCAATTAATACAATGACCAGTGGGGTCAAGAAAATTTAATAGACTTGGTGCCTTGGATATGAATGGCGTTAAGGAACTTATTTGAACGACCAAGCTAACAAGCACTTTTAATTATTGTAAGAATCGTTTGAGATCTTGGAAAGTAAAGTTACCTGGAGGTGTCTCTGCCACGATTCGGATAGTTCAGAGACCCGTTGACGAAGATCTTTCAATGATAAATTGGCTTCAGCCTCACGTAGTTTCACTGCGATTAGCTCATCCTAGAAACAATATTTATCGATTAGGTTTTCGCGATTGTTACACATTGCAATGAAACTTTTTTCATATCTAAATCACGTATTATTGTTTTTTCAATAAACTAACGTCTCGGAACCTTTACAGGTCCCAGGGTCACTGACCAGCACCGGGCTGACTGAGATGGTGAGGTCATCAACCAATTATGTCTAATATCAGCGCAACCACCCTATCGTCGGCTTACTTTCTCAAACTCGTATCTTATAAAGAGTGATTACTCAGGAGATGGCAAAACTTTCTATTTATTTTAAACTTCTTAGCAAGGGTATTTGGAAGAATTACTGTAAGAATAGGTAAAAGCTAGTATGTAAAAACGAAGGAAATGTGAGGTGAAATCAGTCTGCAACATTTGTATAAACAATCCAATTTTTGCATTTCCGTAACTATGTGATATAAGATACGAGTTTGAGAAAGTAAGGCGACGCCATGTTTCACTACAATTGCAAAAGTTGTTAATTTAAATACCTAATTTTTAATTTACAAACGAATATTCCAATTAAGCTACGTAAGTTTTGCAAAATATTTTAACAATATTAATTTTATTATATTAAATTTGAGAAAGTAAGGCGACGCTATGTTTCTCTACAATTGCAAAAGTTATTAATTTTAAATACCTAATTTTTAATTTACAAAAGATACGTTTTGCAAAATAACTAACAATATTAATTTTATTATATTAAATTTATTAATTACAAAAAAATATTAGAAATAAATTAAAACATATTCATAAATAGTTCTTTAACAATATTAAACTGACAATTATTGGCTCGACTTAAAAGTGATTACAAGATGTAGATTTTTTTTTATATTTAGTGATGGGACAAACAAGCCGTGCGCCTGATGGTAAGCTAAACGCCTGTCCAGTTCCAGTGCCGCTCAGATTTAAAATCAATTAAATCACAAAGATTTGAGGGGCACTGTCACTGCGTCCCCGTCACCCTGAGATAAGCTGACAAGTCCCAATTGCCTGTAATTTCACCAGCACCCTGACCCTTCAAAACCGGAACACATTAATGCTAACATTACTGCTTGGCGGCAGAAATAGGTATGGCGACGAAACAAGGAGCTATGCTAAGAGAGTGCGAAGCTATTATGAAAATTGAAAATATTGATTGAAACGAAATTATGAATGAATTTGTTATATAAAATCATTGACTTACACATAAATGGACGACGGGTCTAATACAAAAACCACGAAAAAAATACGGACCCGACGTCCATATAATTGTAAATCAATGTATAAAATGAATTGTATTACATACAGTAAATATTTTGCATATTTGCTGACAGTGAACATTATCTCAATGAAGTGAAGGTAGTGAAGTCCATAATCACATATTTCAAAGAGCACTTGGAATTAAACTTTTGATGGGCCTCTGTGTGAAATATGTATGACGGAGGGTTTTACTAGCCGTTCGATCATTGAATAGCATGTATATGTACAACTATTGGTAAAACGCGATATCAATGAACCAATGTCAATATACCTGCAAGTGAGCGACGTTGTTATCCACCCGTTGTCTCCTCAAGCTCTTGTTCTCGTTCTCAAGTTCAGTGATCCTGGCCGTGAGCTCTCTTTCAGCAGCCTCCCGTTCGGCGGCGTGGAGTCTTGCGCGTACCAGCTCGCGTTGCAGACATCGCGCCAATTCTTCGCCTTTAGCACTACCACTCTCCGTATGGTGATCCTCCAACGATGATTGACGCGAGTTATTCTGTGCAATAAATCATACTTTATTATTGTAAATGTTTTGGTACTGACGGAATGAATTAAAGTAGAATAATATTACATTTCATTGAATAGAAATTAAATCAAATGGACTTTTGTCATAATGGGCTTATGTATTTGGCTGATTCTACGTACATTATTTTGTTGCTTTCACAAAAATTACTTTTTCAAATTAAGCCTATTTTCTTTTTAATATTTACCGTAGGTACAGTTAACGTGAACGCTGTGCTTTCGAATTTGACTTCTCTGAAGATAGATATGTGCGTTTGAATTGCGTTTTGTGTAATGTTTTGGTTTGGGCACGTTTGGAACTTCACTCATTTTCAAAGATTTTAAACTTCATAAAAAAATCATCTGTTTAAAGGTAAAACCACATAAGTGACATTTTCCGCAAAAAAACTCCAAATTATGAAAACCAGTTGTAAGAAATTCACTATCTTTCTGCAGTTAAAACTCAACTGAGTTTCACTTGCAGAAAGATAACGATTTTCTTACCATAGCTATATAAACACTTTTTGTGGATAATGTCACTTATGTGGTTTCACCTTTGAACAGACGGATTGCGGGTTTCCTCACTATGTTTTGCTTTACCATAAGCACGTAGTTGACAGTCTGCGTCTGATTGGAAAATACTTAAACTCAGAGCGTTCTGTATGGCAAGTTTGATCGCAACTAGGTTATCAGTACTCTTCAAAACACGGACCTCGGCAATAGTCATTTCGAGAGATCGTATCTCGTCCTGCGCGACGGCGAGGCGCTGTTGCGCATCCACGTTGGCCCTCCGCAGGGCCTGCACCTCCCGCGCTAACGCAAATGTTTCCTCCTCCCCCTCAGCGCGATCCACCTGCCCCCGCACCAGTCTCTCCGCTAATGCTGAACTTTCCTTCTCCAATAGTTCCACGCGCTGTTTCAACAGGCGATTCTCTTGGCGAAGACACTGCCAATTATGTGTTACGACATATTGTTAATCATGTACATTTAGTGGACTGTACTATGACTATACTCATTATAAAAATGACTGAATGCGTATGTTACGATCGTTTTAATTTTGAATGGGTAATTAAGGGGACAAGACATTTATGCTCTATACGAGCTAATCGATAAGTAAAAGTATGAAGGTGCTTTTGGAATATGAACTCAGAGCATAAACTCATAAAGATACTTTTGGATATCTATATATATTTACAATCTACTAATTTAGTGTACTGAATATAATTCGTCGCCTCACTTTCTCAAACTTTTATCTTTACTCTTAATAGCACTAAGTTACTGATATGCAAAAGTAAATGGATTGTATATACGAATTTTGCACGTTGATTTCACATCGTATTTCCTTCATATTTACACACTAGCTTTGCCCTATTCCTAAAATAATGCATCCAAATTAATACCCTAGATTTGAAATTAATACCCTTGTCTTCTCCTGAATAATCACTTTACAAGATACGAGTTTGAGACAGTAAGACATGGATATGCAGAATACGTACACGAGCGATTCTAATTTTGACTGGGTAATTATGAGACAAAACAGATTTATGCTCATATTACGAGCTAATCAATAGATAAAAGAATAAAGGTATTTTTGGAATATGAATTACGAGCATAAAGTCCTAAAGATGCTTTTGAATATTTATCTATATTTTCAAATCTATTGTCGCAAAGCGGTCAGATGTGTTAGAGAAACAACTTACCCTAAGTACAGCAATGTCACCCTGCTCTTTGGTTTTTATGACCGTGTACTCTTTTTCGAGTTTCTTCATTTTCTTAGGATTTACTTTGATCGAGTATGCTAGATTCATGAAAGCGTCTTGGTCGGCTTCAGTCTTTGCTGGTAGCTCTTTCTGTATGTACTGTAAATGATAAATGTGTCAAATTGCAAGTACATTTCCGGACTTTGGTGGTACAATGTAATACAGTAAAACGTAGAAATAAATAACCAAATGGAATGGTTAATCCCACCAAGATTGAGTACCTACCACACATGCATATAAACTTTTGCATTTCTTAACGAGAAGTTACGTTTAGAAGAGTTAGATTTAGAGGTGCCTTACCTTGAGAATACTTTCCATATCAAGCGACAATAAATCATTTTTGCCCAAAGTAAGCATGGCTAGGGCAACTTTGAACACAATCTCGATTCCTTCCGATAGAAAGACGTCCATAATGCGGCAAGCCAACGGCAGAGACAATGTCGTCGTGAACAGAGTCAGAAACCAGCTGCTAGCGTATATTGAAGTGCTGAAGCTCTGTCAAAAAAATAAAATAGAGATAAAATGAAATAGTTCTGTAACTTTTTGGAATCTTATATAAGGGAAAATGATATTCATATATCACCGGCGATATATTATATTTATTGCATTGCCATATGGTTGCCTTAGTTGGTTATCTTAGTTGGTTGCCTATGGTTATCTGTAAAGATAATTTTTTTTGGGACACTACAATGTCAGAGAGAGCACACTATTTATCATATTTCTTATATAAGTCCAAATAACAAGAACTATAATATCATCAAATGTACATTATTTTAAATTTTATGTCCATAAGTATATGAAAATTAATTTAGTTTTTGAGTATTACAGTCCATAAAAATACATTTATTTATGCATTTTTCAGACCGTATTGTATTATTTTCTTATACTTAGTGTATGTGTGTTATCAATGTGATCCCAAAGAGAAAATCTGTGGTGAATTTTAGACTAAACGGAATATACTAGGCGGAATGCGCATTCCCTACCGAAACGCAGCTCGCAGCATGCAATTACATTTCTTTTTCAAATACACAATGAGCAATATGTATCTGTATTCATCTTAAAGCTTAAGTAAATAGAATGAGGTTAGAATTGGTTCATTCAGATTTTGTCTTTTGCCGTGCCATCACCGGGCCGATACTAATCTTAATGTTACCTACCATCTTGTATACAACATTATGGTATGCAATGAAGTATTGATCTCTCTGTACTTATATTTTTCATTTTCGTTTTTCTCCGTTCTGTACATTCAAGAGAAAAAAATTTCAATTTAATATTTTAGATAGACCACACATTTAACGTGGAAATTCAAAAACTTGGGATTCATTCGACATTTAAAAAAATCACTGCTTATTTCAAAAGCCTTTCCTTACTTGAAAAAAAGAACATCATTGTTCCAGGCGACTAAATATTATAAACACATCAAAAGATTTAGGAGATCAAGCTCGTTTTTGTCAATTACTGAAAATCAGGTTTTTTAATTTAATTTTTTTAGCACTCATGGATTGTTTTTGATCAATTTTATAATTTGAATTTGAAAATAAAATTAATCACAAAAATCCAATGTCCCAACAACCTAAAAAAACCAGATTTTTAATAACTTGCAAAAATGTGCTTGATACCTAGATAGTTTTGATGTGTATATTTTGCACTAACCTGTGATTGGAAGTGGACGTGTAAGTCGGGTAGCAGTTCTTGCACGAGGTTTTCTAACTGGAACATACATAGCCCTAGCTCGGCCATGCTAGGCTTGAACATGTCGCGCATACGATGCTGCTGCATTATCTTCACCAGTACAGCAAACGCCTCTTCTTCAGGCATCTTAATGGGAAATTTAAAATGGGCCACGTTTTGTAAGTTGTCTCATAGTTGGACAAAGACGCAGGAGCGACTTAATTATAGATTGTATAATAAATAGTTATTTGTTATTTAAGGCTACAAAGTTATTATTTGACGCGAGTTTCAAGCCACGAGACGCAAAACAACTTTGCTGTCTAGCGAAACACTCAACTTCACCTGACTATAGCGAGGAAAATGGTAGATGAAAGATTCAACTGTATAGTTGAACTATAACAAAATAATGTAATAAACAAAATTAGTTATCAATTTAATGTCAACAACTATAAGAATAAAATATCCCAACGTATTTATATTACATAAATAATATACGAAAATCGCGTAGTTAAACGTGTCATTATGTTTTTTTTTTGATCGGAAGAAAAAGTTAGGTGCACCACAACCACAGTCCATCGTCAAATTCGAATTTCAAAAACCTTTTCCACGCTAGCTTTTGCGTGCAGATTTCTAATGAGAAAGAAAGCCTTTCCGAGCTAGTGAAGTGACAAAGTTTATTACGCTCTAAGTCTGACCTGCATAAGGAGCAATCCCACGATGAATCCCGAGCCCTGGCAATAGCCAACCTCTCGGTCGTGTAACGAGTATGCTTTCATCACGTTAAACAATGACTCTTGTCCTAGGCCGTCTTTTTCCTTGAAGAAATCGTGTTCGGGGTAGGTACGCGCTATGTCCCGACGAATCACCTTCTCGCATGCTGATTTCGCCTGTTATCATTAAATTTGTATTTAGTACTGTATGTATTATGTTTGCAAACAATCAGTAAATGTTTTTTTTAGTTTATTGGTTCACTTACAGTTATTACAATGTAACATACTATAAATACAATTTGGTGAAGTTCTTATACAAATTGCACAACTGCTTATGAGTGAACACAGCTTGCAAAAATAACGTAAAATGTAAATTACATAGAATTTAAAAACAGCAACTTAAATTTAAAAAAAAGAAGAATATATAGGTACTATGGGTTGTTTATGTATGGGTATAGTCATGTATTATATGTTATATATCGTATGCATGTTTTATATTGTGTGTAGATAACGTATCACAGTTATTTATAAATTTAGATTTATTTGTGCGTTACTTATTTGTTTTTATTTGTCATGTTATGCACTCCTGTTATTATTCTGAACTCAGCTCTTCGATTGACTGGTAGAGAAAAGTCCGCCATTTATAATACTTTGTGTGCAGTAAAGTTTAAATAAATAAAAAAAAGAAATAAATATTATGTTAAAGTCTTAGTAAAAGACAGTCGCGCAAGGTTTTCGGTTACAATGGGACCAACGTTTTTATCTTTTTGTTAATTTAACAAAATACGACCAGTATACCCAGATTGCTGCTATCGTTGACCAACTATTGACAAGAGGTAGGGTTATGGCAATTTGTTATTGAGAATCATGTGTAAAAGCAGACAATGTATTAGGGGTTAAAGTATGAAATTGCCGTTTTATTGCAATAGGTTCTTTGAATTTTCATAGAATCTTCATGGTTTGAGGTTTTCGAATGAAACTTTTTTCAAATGGTTTCTGTGATTTTTTTTTTTAATTTGAAACATTTGAATATCGACTTTCAATTGTTTTTGTTATTCAATTTAGACAAGAAAGATGGATACTGCGAAAATTCGAGTGATTTTTGAATACGAGTTCCGACGCGGAACTAACGCGGCAGAAACAGCCCGCAATATCAATGCTGCGTTTGGAGAGGGGTCTACTAATGAACGCACCGTGCGATTTTGGTTTAAACGCTTTCGTGATGGAAATTTCGACTTAAAGAACGAGCCACGAGGAAGACCGCCCACACAGGTGAATAACGATGAATTAAGAGAGATAGTGGAAGCCGATCCTAGTCAAACTACCCAGGAATTAGCGGCATGGTTTAACGTTACCTTACCCACAATATTGACTCACTTGCGTCAAATCAATAAAATAAAAAAATACGAAAAATGGGTGCCTCATGATTTGACTGATCTGCAGAAAGAAACGCGTGTTGAAACTTGTGTTGCCTTGTTGAACCGGTACAGAAATGAAGGAATATTGGATCGAATTGTAACATGTGATGAAAAGTGGATTCTTTATGATAACCGGAAAAGAAAAATGCAATGGCTGACCCCAGGTCAAATGCCACAACAGTGTCCTAAAGCAAAACTTACCAATAAAAAGGTAATGGTAACTGTTTGGTGGTCTCAGCATGGTGTTATTCACTATAGTTTTCTCCGATCTGGTCAAGCAATAACGGCAGATGTCTATTGTGCCGAACTCCGAACCATGTTGACAAAACTAGCAGTAAAACAGCCCCGACTCATGAATCGATCTTCACCATTATTGCTCCACGACAACGCGAGACCTCAAACAGCACGAGAAACCATTTTGACCCTTCAGGAACTGCAGTTAGAAACCATTCGTCATCCTCCGTATTCACCAGACCTTGCTCCAACGGACTACCATTTTTTTCGTGATTTGGACAATTATCTACGTGACAAGAAGTTTTCTTCCCAGGAGGCAGTACAAAATGCTTTCACACAGTTTGTGCAGTCTAGATCGTCGGAGTTCTATCGCAAAGGCATTAATAACCTTCCCATTAGATGGCAGCAATGTATAGATAATAATGGCAACTATTTTGAATAAATAAATTTGTTAAAAATTTAAAAAATAAACAATTTAGATTTTCAGTACAAATCGGCAATTTCATAGTTTAACCCCTATTATTTGTTATTTATGACTTTACAAAAGAAATTTATTAGAATCCTTTACAAGGATTCATAATCCCAGACAGTGGTAAACCCACAGACACATCTGTGTGTATACTCTATTTTATCAAACAAAAAATTCTGATACTCGCTCTAGAAATTTGTAAACTTGTACGAAACCGTCAAGTCAAGACCTATATCACAATTGTAAAGGATCCCAACTAAATAAGCATTTCGAAATACAAACAGATCGGTATTACCATATCGCATTTATACTCAATTATTTCACAAAATATCGACTTTGAAATAAATGCAATTGAAATTTCAACAACGAATATTTCTTAAATGCCATGGTCATCTCACGTTAACTTGTAACGGATGATTCCACACCGAAATTTGGAAATGTTTTCATTTTACATAAGAAATTTTGTAAGTAACGTACATATGGAAGACAAATAAATAAGAATAAAGAATATCTTTCAATTAACTTCATATTTTCACATTAATATTAGCTAATCAACTGGTAATTTCTATATAGGGAACAGGGAAGGCCTCTAGTTAATTACGTATATGTAGAGAACACCTTGAAGTTAATTATGTATAAAGGGTTGATTTTAAAGATTTAAATAATAGATATCCTAGTAGAGTAGAATTCCTAATAGTAGATATAGTTAAACCTTCAATAAATACATAGTTACGATAAATAAGTAAAAAAATAAGAGAACCCCGTTAGGATTATCATTGGTTTTAATTTAATATTTTTATGACTTCAAAAATAAGATGAGGTTTTCATTTCGACGGTTACGCGATTACTACGATATTTGTGAAACGATTTCTATGATGTTTTTATTGTTGGAAAGGGAGTAAAAATGAAATGAAAATGTTTCACCTCTAAGAGCGGCATATTAGTGGATGAATCCGGTTTATTGGATTTGATCCACTTTCCGTTAACCGATGTCAATAAAACTTATAGATGTAACTTCACAAACTTTTGGGGTCAGTTTTTTAATAAAATAATTATCATTATTGACTTATCTTTTTTCACAATGTACTTCTTTAACTCCCTTCTTTGGCCGAACGGTTACCATGCCGGACTGCCACGCAGAGACCCCAGGTTCGATTCCCGGGCCGGGAGAAATATTTGTATGGCCTACATTTATTTCTCTCGTGAGTTTGGGTGTAATTTGTGGTTGTCTATGTACGTGTGTCCATGGCACCCGCGACACAGGGTTTCCCTGAGCGGGGCTATGTTGAGTGGTGCGTTATTAGTTCTCAGCAAACCTGCAATTTCTATAGGCCTATTTATTTAGTTACTAACATTCCGCCTCGGTTTTACGAAAAAGTTTCTCACGAGCCATTCAATTTCATGGTATTAAAGTTATACAAATGCGCTAATAAAATCATTAAAACTGTGTGGAAATTGTAATTGGATCCTTTTTTACGAGTAGACGTCTTAAGAATCGTTAGAACGTTAGGAATACGTAGACTACCCATAGTGTCTTCTGTTTTATTGTGCTCAGTTTCACAATTGGATCTTAAAAATGTGTTGATAATGTAATTGGGTACACTGGCTGTGTAACAACAATTGCACGCGAATCTTCGATCTCTCATGACACTAGTCTAAACACAGCGTTGAGTATCATACACATATACATCGTGTGAACTCGGTTTTTGCGTGGTCACCTTAATGTAAGAGGCGTAGAGTTTCTTTTCGGGCGACTGATCAACACCGGCCAAGAGTTGCCACACGATTCCTCTGAAGTGGTGAGGCACACCCTGACGCACCAAGTCGCGGACAAATTGATTGCGCCTCTTCCACTCAGTTTCCCAGTTGCTGACGATGCGGCCCCAAAGACCCCAAAGGTCTTCCTCCCCGTTGCTGCCCACCTTAGCTTCCTCATGACTGGAACTGGTCGCTGCACGTAAAATTTGCAAATAAAAAAATATTATATTATTAACGAGTAACAACCTGAAGAAAATAGTACATTGTGTACTACAGGCGGTATATACGAAAAAGGGTTTTAATGACTCGAGGTTTGTAATTTTTTACTGCTCGTGCTACATACAATATATTTCATCACAATTGCGAGGAAATAAATGCAATGATGTAACGAAGAATCTATAACCACCTTAAGGTGGTTATAGATTCTTCGTATTCATCGCCCTATTAATAGTGCGATGGTAGTAATGAAAAAACCCGTGGGCGTAATTTAGGACATTACAGCCGATTGTGCTTGCATGCTAAGATACCGTTTACGAGTAAGTGTTGTGAGCATTTATTTACTAGATAAAATGTTTGCAGCACATATTTCACGCAAAATAACCTACAGTCTCAAATTGGCTTCTCAATAAGTCTATTATTGCAAATGAGCCAGTAAACCTCTAGTTAACCACTGTTTTATGAATAAACCATGAATTAAATACAACGTAAAAGACGTAATTAACTTTGTGGTGTGCTATATATTTATAATTGTATATACAAATGTTGACTGATTCATAATAAATGTGTACAAACCTAATGACAAATTTGACAAAATACTCGAAAGGTAAAATTCCAGGACATTTTGAGGATAAATTGAGTCGTCAGCTTTTTCCATGTTCACATTTCTATTGTTGTCTAGACTATATACATTACGCCCTTTTTCCATCGAGGTAGGCAGTGACGACAGCCTCTGTCGCCTTGGTCCACCCTTACCAACTTCACAGCTCACTTTCGGCTTCAATCTTGTTTCATTCACTATAAATGTTCGGACCATCTAAGCTTCCCTATCTCTTTCTTTGTCACTACATCTTCTTCCACGCCGCAACCCTCTCTTATTGTTCCGTAGTAGACATAAACATTTTATGATTTGCAAGAAATATCAAACACAATTATGAATTTATAAACAAGCGATATATTTTTTAAATATCTCACCGACTAATTCCAAAATAATTCGCAGTGTAACGTATTATTACATGGTAGTGGAACTATGGTACTGTGTGAGGCTGTGGTTACTGACTAAAAGATAACGAGTGATACAGCGATAAGCGATAAACTAACGTTGTTTCATCTCGATAATAAATTGTATATAATGTCTATTATTTAACCTATAACAAATAACTTACACAGGGCTCTGCGCGACGAGAAAAAAGTTATGACAAAAAAACTCGTGCGTTAAAACTAGCACGTTCTACATTCCGAACAAATAAAAATTGGTAGCCTGGGCCACATAAAGATACAACATAAAATCGAATAAGGTTAAGTAAGTTAAAAAATTTAAGTTAAGTAACGATTTCAATGATACTCCAGTATACATTTCAGGTAAATTTAAATAATATGAATGTAATTTAATCCTTGTGTGAAATACAAGTGTAAGGGGTTGCCACTACTTGAATGTTAGATGTATATAATTGTAAGTCGTTTACCTGATGCCAGTGATATTTGGGAGGTGTCAGAGCTCTTGCGGCTGTGCACTGTGGTGAGGGAGGGGCATTTGGCGTCCGCCTCCATACGCCGGTTTTCTTCTTCCAGCTTGGCTAGCAGCGCCCGCTCCGGGCACGGAATAGCCTCACAGTCTGTACTCGGTAGAGGCTGGCAATCTGCATATGCAACGTATTAATTCTCGTCAAGATGCGCTGGTTATTAGTAGTAGGCCTTAAGGATAAATTTCTTATTATCCCACTGGCATTAATGTGGTTCTCGAGACATACTCATATCACCTCACTGATTAACTTCTTTGGCAACTAATGTCATTGAGGACTACTGCGTGGACCAAGTATGTGATTTTCAGGTTATGAAAATCGGGAAATTTTTGACGCCGGTGCAGGGGCTCTACTATTCAAGCACGACACCCCTACTTACAGCCGTTTTCCCACTACGGATGGCCTACAGAATCACTCCCGAAGTCCGTCAACGAAAAGACGGGAATGTTCGAAGCTGTTGTCATACATTCTTAGTTCTAGCCCCTATCGAAACAAGTTTGTAAATTATCCATAGTGGGAAAATGGCCGTAACTACGGATTTCGTGCTTCGAGAGCAGGGCCCCAGTTACAGGTCTACTAGAATCTCCTGATGCGGGATTTAAAAATGGAGATTAGAAACACTGGTGCAACTGGAATACAACGTTCTTGACAATTAATATCGTATTTTATTGTAAGTAATTGTGTATTGCAACCGAAACGACCTATGAATCGGATTTTTGTTCCAGAGACGGGGACAATTTCATACTGTGTCGTTTCATTTTTCTGGTAGACCTTATACTCTTTGAATCAATATAAAGATGCCAAATCGAGAATAACTTAAGAAATTTATCAAATCTTGCAGAAGTATACATACAACAAATTGCATTAATAATGTTGATAGCGCCGACGTAAGATTTATAGCACTGTCTAAAACTTCTGACATAACAGTGTCTATAGTTCAGGCCCTTCAGTATAGGGGGAGTATGGTTTTATCTCGAATGTAATCCTGAAGTATTTAAAAAAAACAAACAAAGAGAACATGGAATTTTACACAACAACCATCAGTGCTGATATAATCGCTTTACAAATTAAATACTTATTAAAATAATAAAAAGTGCGAAAGTATGATCAAAGCATCGGTGGAATACATGGCGCTGTTTTTGTCTGTAGTAACTGTGCAACATTTGTGCCATCACCAGTCCCTGACAAGAGTTTGTTCACATTTTACACGATACGCTTGAGTCAACGCACTAGTATATTGCACTAGTAGAATGATTTATGTATTATTTTAACACAGTATTGGATAATCTGTCAGATGCTAACTCAGTATTATTACGAGTATAATGCTTAATTTTTCCGGGTAAATAGTATGTAGGTACCTAAAAACTACGTCATGTGATTACTGGTGTGAACATATTCATAAATGGTTTTCAGACAGTGCGGTGTTGCCAGATATATCATTTCAAAGACGATTTGACCATTTATGTGTAATCATATCATTATTGTTTAAGTATAACTGGGTGGACCTGGCAACACTTACGTTTAATGTATAACAGTCTGGTTAATATGCTATTATAGTTAAATACATGAATAACAAATACCTATGTTAACATCTATCAAGCAGTTATTAAAACTGTTGCGGATTCAAGCCACCAGAGTTGCAGAGATAACTCCATCGTAACTACACCCCGTGAGTAAACGTGGAGGCTATGTTAGTTAACAAGTAAATTAGAAGATTTGTGACCGTGCTGTTAACTATAAGCGCAGTTGGTTATGTGGCTGTTATATGAGGAACACAAATGAGGTTGACATGTCAGATGTTAGGCAAGTATTTATAGGTGATGTGCGTTAGTATATGTTAGTCTTGAACCAACAAACCATCTAAAGATGACACAGGCGAATCTGTATTACTAGCGATCGGGGTTCCAGGTAGTGCAACCGGTGGCGGCGCGATGGGCATGTCCCTGGCATCGGCGTCCACCTTCATGGTGATCAGCCATAAAGAACTCTGCGTCCCTTCGGCCCGCCTCACCGCACGCTCCTCACCGCACCTGATGTGTGCATTTACGCCATAAACTCCGAGCTCATGTTCAACGGTGAAATGTTCTTTGTCACACCTCTCGCACCTGAGCTCCTATTTTTTTAACTTTCACTCCTCGTGTAAAAGGCGCTATGAATTCAAATTAAAAGTATCCGCATTTTAATTCTGTTACTATAATTCTAGCGAATACGTATATACATAGATATATAATTTCATGTAAACGTAATTATGACTTCGGTTACAGCTTAGCTTAAGAAAAACCAATCCTTAGAAGGCACTAAATTTGTTTTGGTAAATTGATAGTAGTATTACTTCACCACACATGCACAAACAATGGATGATAATCAAGTATGATTGCAGGTAGTTTGCCGAATTCACGTTACTGAACAATCCACAATGAGTCAGGCTGGTATTAAGCGAAGTTAACTAATTGGATTGTGTGTACAGTTGGAGATAATTGCGTGTTTGAATCGGGCGTTTAAGTTTTTATTTCGATGAAACCGCGCTGGTAGGTGAAAGTTGGTACCGTCAGTGGAATGATCCGCGTGCAGCGGTCATCCGCCCACTAAGCATGAAGGCCGCCCGACGCCGACGCCAGAGCGCTTGCCTGAGTCTGTTTGCGATCGCCGCGACGCGTCTTTACACACGGCTTAACTGTGTCTGTTCAGCACAGCACACGAAACACTGAACACGGAGCGTGCTAATGCTCTAGAATCTAACAATCGCGCACGCAGAACAACTGTGTACCTTCATAGGACGTCTTAAGTACCCGTTTACAATTTAATATTTGAGGTAAAGTAGAAAATTTACACTCGAAACGTCTGGCCTCTTTGAAATGAAATAAAGGTATTTTGTCACATTCAGATTGGTAACTTTTATGAAATAAAATGTTAAAAACGAAAACCTCGAAAGAACTCGATATAAAATGTTAAAGTTTTTAAATTTACAATTTTTGGAGTTATATATTTTAGTTTTCGTTAATTGTGCTTTCGGTTTAAAATCAAACAAGGATACTCCTAAAATTAGTGAATACGAGTTCCGACGTGGCACTAACGCTGCGCGACATCTTAGCGACGTGTACGAGGCTGATAAAACTAACGAACGCACTACGCTTTTTCGGTTTGCTCGATTCTGCAGTGGAAAATTTATCGTTACAATGAGTCGCGTGGACGACTAGACTTTAAATTTGAACGTTACCATGTTAACGTGGACTAGCACGGCGAATCTATCGTAAACTATGGAGAAAATTAGCAGTATTGTTTGCTGTAACTTTACTCACAGTACTGACCCATATACGCCAAATTGGTAACAAAATATAGATTATCTGACGGTATGGTAAGACTTCAATCAACACATACCTGTAGGAGTTTTAGAACGTATCATTAATTGTAAAGAAAGAAGAAAGTATTCGAACCTTAGCGACAAAGTCAAACAATGTCCAAAAAACAAACCTACCCACAGAAAATTGTTAACACAAAAAATTGGTAATACAGGCGCAGAGTAATTTACTATAGCGTCTTTAGATATGGTACAACTATGACACCTAAACGTTAATATGAAAAAATGCGAATGATGCTGGCAGGACTCGTAGAAATTGATTTTCACTGTTACTTCTACACGACTACGTCAGGGAGCATATATACATACATATATAGCCGAGAAAACCATCTCAGTTGCAGGTTAATCCACGCGTACTTTATCTGGACCCTGCTGACAACCATCTTTTCCGCAATTTAAATAATTATGTAGAAGGAAAACAATTTAGTTCCCGTGAATGTGTTTAGTCGGAAATGAGTTCTAAGACTTTACGGGTTCCCGTTTTCCACTGTTTTATTTTTATCGCAAAGGAATAAATGAAATTCCAGCAAGGCTGCAGGGATTTAATTAATAAATGTAAATTTTTAACACTTTTTACTTTTCCATATAGAACGGCGATTTCATACTTTACTTCATGTACACATGGATGTAGATATGAATATTCATTACATTTTCTGTAATATTAAATGGTCGTACATTTTTCTATGTACGAGTATGTGCGTCCATACGAAATTACTTTTTAATTTTTTAATGAGAATTGATATTGGTTTCTTATTATATTATAAATTCGTTTAACTCTTGTAAACATTGAACAAAGACTTGTAAATTGAACGTTAATTTCGTATTTATTGTGCATTTCATTCGTAACATACGTTAATTCTGTGCAGAAATTTGTAGCATTAATATTATCTAGTACTTAGAGATGTTACTCAACTTGTAAAATAAGACTACTATTACAATTTCCCAGGATTCGCGAGACTAAAATTTCTGTGCTTGAGATCTGAATAAACATTTGTAGTCTGCTTCCTCACTATGTACTGGTGTATAAAATATTCATAGACACGACCATTCTCTTGGAGAACTTTGTCTGGCTCTCCGACTACTAGGCAATACCTTAATTAAACAAAACTTAAAACAAACCAACGACTCGTTAAAAATAATGACATGAACACAAAAATATTATTTTATACACGAAAAAATTAACTGAATAAGAAGAACTATACGAGTTTTTAAAAAGGTGTCAAAATACAAATTTATTTTATTTATATTTTCTAGGTGGCGTTCGACACTGAAGAATTTGATATGCGTCCTTATTTTGTTTACCCGGGAAAGCTCACTCAAGACCTGTCGCTTAAGCCGCCATTTATATGATATTGACATTGGTCTCGACAAAAAAATCCGGTTACACTTTGTAAGGTTCTGCACTGCGAGTGACTCAGTCCTTAGCACTGAATTGTTCGTAAAGTAGTCCGATATAAATATACATACTTCATATGAAATATTAATGTGTAAAGTCTTTTATAAAATACGGAGGATTCTAAAAAAACCCACTCAGAATTGAATTAGGTTCACTTTAATTTGCGTTATGATTGCTGATCCGAGTGAACATAAATAGCAAACGTGTTATACATATATATAACAAGGGCAACAAGTACACATAACATGCACGACTATGGCACATTGTGATAGTGGTTAATTTGACTCATGCCAAGTCACAGTGACGTGAAAAGCAAAAAATGTAATGTACGTATGAGCGACGTACAGCCTTGGCCAAAAGTATTGAGCACCCTAAAAATCCCGAACGGGCACAATAAGTATTGCAGAAAACAGGTCCTATTGTTAAGGATTATTTTTTCGGCATCTACAAAGGTTTAAAAACAATGACCCCCACACCGTAACTAGCAATAAAACACCTGGTGCCATAAAATTTGTCTTTTTACGATTTTTGTATTTATTTCTCAGTTCACTACTATCATTCGTTCGTTACGTACACATCCAGTGATTTAGTGCGCTTTTGGTATTTTGTTTAGTTCCATTTAGTGATATTGTAGCAATATGCCTAAAAAAACGAACTTAGTTTAGAACAACGTGTGCAGATACAACTTCTGCATGAGCAAGGGAAATCACAGGTAGAGATTTCTAAAACTGCGAAATGTTCGCGCCGATCTGTTCAATTAACTATTGAGCGATTCGCCGCTACTGGGTCCGATAGTAACAGATACAGAACAGGGCGCAAACGCATCACCACAGATCGTGAGGACCGAAAGTTAATGAGAGAGTCGTTAAAAAATAGGAAGAAAACTTCTTCAGATCTCGCTGCTGATTTCTCTGTCGAAATTAACAGACATATTTCTGCTCGCACTACTAGAAGAAGGCTTCAGGAAGTTGGTCTGAAAGGCTGTAAAGCCAGGAAGAAACCATGGCTCTCTCAAAACAACAAGAAGGCTCGGTATGAATGGGCCTTAAAATATCAAAGTTTCACCGAAGAAGATTGGTCAAATGTCGTGTGGTCAGACGAGTAAAACTTTGAGGTGAGTTAGACAATTTCACGTTCTTAAACAATGTGATTTGAAAATAAAATTCAATAACAAAAATATTTTAGATTTCCGATCTCACTACTTTTTTAAAAAATTTCTGATTTTTGGTACACCTGGTGTGACTTTTGTGCGCCGCCGGGCAGGCGAAGAATTTAGTCCAGCCTGTATAGTGCCAACCGTAAAACACGGCGGAGGCAGCATAATGATCTGGGGCTGCATGACTGATTCAGGAGTTGGCGAAATGTTTGTGTGTGAGGGTCGCATGAACTCTTCAATATACATCAACGTCCTGGAATCTGCGTTGCTGCCCTCATTTTCAACTCTTTTTGGCGATACAAATATGGATGGCGTCAAATTCCAGCAGGATAACGCGCCATGTCATAAATCTGCCAGCACTATGACATGGTTTAGAGAAAAAAAATTGAGCTTCTGGAGTGGCCTGCCCAGTCTCCGGATCTAAACCCCATAGAACATTTACGGGGTTTATTAAAGCGCAACGTCAGGCGCCACCCAATAAATACAAAGGAAGAACTAAAACGCCGTCTGCGCCAAGAATGGAACGCTATACGTCCTGAAGACTGTAAAAATCTTGTCCGCTCTCTACCAAAAAGAATTTCTGCCGTAATTAAGGCAAAGGGTGGACACACGAAATATTGATTTTTATTTAATAAATAGTAATATTAACAAATGTAAATTGTTTCAAATTATTTCATTTTCATATTCCCCAAAAAACTGTGAGTTATCATGGGTGCTCAATACTTTTGGACAAGGCTGTATTTATATAGTGAATTTGATATCAACTAATATAGACACTTGGGCACATTTAGCGGATCACTAGAGAAATCCCGAAAATAATGCAAACTTTAGATGTATGGAAGAACTATATTTTACTTTTTTAATTTTAGGTCTAATTTGAAAACAAAAATATTGTCGCCTGTCATTTTTGACTTTTTTTGTTTTAATTTCTTACTAATACAGGTTCGTCGAGGTTAATTATTTTGGGTTGTAGTACATTTAGTAAACTTTAGTTTAAAAAGATTTTTTATTTATTAAACTTTAATAAATTTAAGCAATGTTATAAATTTTTTATTTTCTGTTGATTCTGCTTTGTCACAAAATGTAAAAAATGCATTTCCCTTAAAATAATTTTTTTTTCAATAAAGGTTGACAAAAGCTGTTACTAATTCGATGTTAAAAGATTTCTTTTAACGATTTCTAATAATAATGAAGAAAGGTAACTAATGATTGATAAGGATATTTCTAATTCTTTATTTTATTTAAACGCGGTGTATTGCTAGAGTACTGAGTAAATATGAACGTTACCATTTTATATTCTCATTTTTGTTCCGCTAAATATGCTGGTGAGTGTACAAAGAGGGGACGCTTATGCAGCAATTTTAGAATCTTTTAAATGAGTTTCTATTTCAATATTTTTTCACTCCTGGTTAAATACCATAACCCTCTTTTAGCTTATATTACTTGTGACTTCATTGCAACACAAAAAGATTTTCTCAAAGTACGGCACCACTTACGCGCCGGCTTGCGTATAAAAATTGTTGAGCTATCTCTATAATTGTAAGTCAATGGCTATCTCTTATGTATACTGCTGCCGTTACTTGAAAGGGCGCATTTGATATTTTTTCAAAAATTTTGATAAGTTTAACATAAGATGTCGTGATCAATAAAAAAAGCTCGATCTGTCACTATTTTTATTTTTTTTTCTGTAAACATTGTTTCCTCGGTGTTGATTTTTAATCACACCCCCTCGGGCGCCCTTTCAACAAACGGCGGCAGTATAAAGCTAACCTGCATTATTTATTTTTTAAACGCATAAATCGATGTTTCAGACTTTATCCTTTCATAAAATTCCACTCAAGGGTTTTTAAACTCTTGAAGGGTCGGCCGGCCGTTCAGAACTCAAGTGCCGAGTTAATTATAACCAAACTGAGATTTCAAGTGAACTTTGTTACTTAAAACAGTTATTATTCATTACACAATGAATTTGTAAGTGAAAGAAAATATCGTGATAGAACTAGCATGTTGAAGAAGATTCGCAACCCCTTGAAATAGGTCTTAACTTTGAACTATATCAAATTCACATTTCCGATTTTGGATTGAAATATTATTGATTTACTTCGACGAAAGTGGTTGAAGACGACAAAATTTATATCTAAAATTTGTTGTTGACAATTTGCTAGTCATCTGTTATATTTTCTCAATGTAACGTTCTTTAGGTAATCAGTGAAATAGAGAACAGTATTTGTTTGTTCGACAGAGTTTATGCTATTATAACTAAATGTTATTTGTGTTCCATACGTGTGTACCAATCTAATCTACTAACCTCATCAGTAAATAGTTTGCAGGTACATTCAGGTTGTTATTTTGTGTGAAGTAGAATAATAATTTTAGTTCATTGTTTAATGTGTAGATTTATGTTCATCACGTTATATTAGAATCTAGCCTAAACTACTCGTAATTGGTGTATACAGTGCTTATGCCTCTATTTCGGGTGTCTGTTGCGGCGGTGTTGCTTTTTCGAAGTTTAAAATAAACTCCATTACTTTAAGCTTTGCATTTTAATCCAAACAAATAGCTTGTCATAGAAATTATTTGGAAACAGGATTCTGCGAGTGAAAAATAAAATACGCTGCGCCGCCGTCGAAATTTAAATCGTATAATTTCAGAACAAATAGCTTTTTATGACGCGTTTGCGATAGTATTTGCGTGAGGAAAATTTAAATTAGGTACATTAATTAATTTTCTCAAACATGTTTGGAAATGTGTGCATTACTTTCGAAAAACGAATACGGAAAGTTTGTCATATATGGACCTTGCGACTTCTTCCTGGCCAAGGCCTGCAAAGTATATATGATAATCTCAGTACAGAGTACTAAAAACACCGACTTCAAAAGTACGCGTAATTACGTCTATTTGCTAAGTTTTATTGAAATATCCCCTAGTTCGCCACTATACAGGACTCGACACTGGAGATAATAAAAATCGGTTCTCACTACTCAAAGTATATTGAGAGAAAAACGCCTTGAATTGGAGAAATAGCCAAATCAATCATTAAAGTAATTGCTCCTAAATTAAAGTAAGGCGCTATTTATAAAAATGAATCTTCATGCGTGGACAGCCACCCTTCGTGGTGGATTATTTTCTTCAAAATGAAATGTGACCACTATGGAAGTACCCCCCTTCCAACAAAATAAGAATCATGAAAATCGGTTCACAAATACCGCAGTTATCGCGTAACATACATACAAGAAAAAGAAAAAAGAAAAACAAACAACATACAGTCGAATTGAGAACCTCCACCTTTCTTGAAGTCGGTTAAAAACCCATTACTGTCCTCTTCCCTAAACTTTTAAATTTACCTACTAATAATGAACTATGTAAACAGGCAAAAGAAAAACTCATACAGCCAATTGCCCAGTGTTCATAACTGCGAGAATAAAAAATACCTACCTGCACAGCTTCTTTAAAAAAAAGAAAAGAAATGGCGGTAACATTTAAACTAAAGTGTTTTGGTATTCTTTTGTTTTCTTTTCGTCTTTTTTTGGTTGCGAAAACGAGTGCTAGTGAGAAGACCGATAACGAAAATACAGATAGATTACATTCAAACACATCATCACAAGTATTAATGTGCCTGGAAAAATAATTACATTTTCTTTTAGCAATTGTATACATTTTTATGTTCATATTTTTTTACTTTTTCTATAATACATCTTCCTCTCCTTAGTCTTTTATTATTTCCTCACATTGTTTGAGAAAAAATCTATACATATATGCCTCGGCGGAAACGGGGATTGCTTGACTCGTATTGATAAAATGCCTTGCTGGCGCTCGTCCTTGTAACTCACACTCGTCCAGCAATCCCTTACTTCCCGGCCTCTGCAATAATGTACTATAATTTAAATTAGGCATTTATACGACTTCAATATTAGCTTGCAAGAGACGAATTTCAAAGCATATTGGTTAGGGTTCAGAGATACATACCTTCAATTAGAGTAAAAGTCGATGTACAAATCTCTATGGGCGCTGGTTCCAACATTAACTGAAATAAAAGAAGAATTTATGTTAGAATTTAATTTTCCGGCAACTTTAGTGCAATCAAGGCTCCTTTGAGAACTGCTTTTCTTAGCTTCACTTTGAGCACTCGCTAATAAAAATAAAATCAAAGAAAAGCAGTTCTCAACTAGGTATACAGAGTTAACGTAACGTACGTTCTACGTAAATAAAATTCTGGAATACGTCGAAAGAGTGAATGATGAACAAATTTACGAAATGTCGATGTAATTGAAGTACTTAAGCTTTCGAATTTTTTATTGAAAGTATACCAACACCGAATATAATTGAATTGGTATATACTTGTATCTGGATCAAGATAACAGCAAAGGTCTAAACCTTTTCTCTTTCGAGACGTTACGTATATTCAAAATTATGACTCTTCTATGTTATAGTGAAGATAAATGGAAATTCACGTAGATACATTAATTAGATAAAAAACATTTCGAGTCATTTAATTACAATACGTTTTCGTAAACTCTACAAAATTTATTTGGTTAGTATTGCTATATCACTACCAACGCTTTATAAATCTTCGGGGTTTTTTGGTAATTTCTTTCGGCTGAACGCTTTAATAGACATGGGCTTGGCGGGAATCATTGACGCCCCCGCCTGCGCTTAACACGAATCCATTTTTCACAGACTGGAAACGTTGGCGAGATTTCCGTTTTCATAATCGGCTTTTCCAAATATAAAAATTATAGAATAGGATTATTAATTTAAAATTGATACGTTAAACGTAATATTTTATACCACTTCAGTATTTTATTATCAAGATAATATTGAAATTAATTAATTATTATTATTAATTAATATTTAATTATTAATTAATTTGTTACTTTGAATTTGTATAAAAGTATTTTTGATGTTCATCTATATATATTTAACTGTCTCTGTGGCCGAACGGTTGTCATGCTAGACTGCCACGCAGAGGTCCCGGGCCGGGAGAGATAGATAGATAGACAATACACTTCATTGTTCACACACAAAAAACAAAAACAGTACGTAGACAACTTATAATTAATGTGGACAAAGGCGGCCTTAACGCTGAGAGCGATCTCTTCCAGACAACCTTTGAGTCTGAGAACTAAACGGAGAGGGAGACGTAGTGTGCCAGTGACAAAAATTTAATTACATGATTAAAAACTTACACTATCATATTACGAAATAATAAGCGTCCATAATATTATATACCTACATATATATTTATTTACACATAAAATATGTATATACATTATTTGTATGGCCTACATTTATTTCCCTCCTGAGTTTGGGTATAGGTAATATGTGGTCGTCAATGTGTGTGTCCATGGCACCCGCGATACAGGGTTTCATACATACAAAAGTTAAATTGTATGTGTATGTCAATAATGTGTAAATGTACATTTTTTCATCATTTTTAATTTTGTTCCTCTCATATAATCTTTGTAATCCACTTAGTAATTGTTATAAACAGTTCATATGTGTGATACTTAAGAGTGAGGACCTGGGGGTCTCCCGTTCAACGTACGAAACAATTACTGTCAAATAAGTAACACTCGACCATATCAAAACACAATGTCAAGTATGGAGCTTCATTCGCATCATGCGTCTTTTAATTTGCTCGTATTATATTCTTACTAATCGTATTGTAGTATTCCTAATTTAACAGTAATTGTTTCGGACCGATGTACGAGTACGACCGGAGTACGGGAGTTGATCTCTGTTAGCTTGTTGTTAAGCATTTAACGTTTTACGAGCTCCACAACAGTCACCAGCTCCTACAAAATGCGTAATGTGCATAAAGGTACATATTATCTGTGTTTTATGAAGAAATAAATATAATTATTACTTACTTATTTTACTTAGAAATAAACCTGTTTACTAACATCAGAATCGAGGAGAGTGTTCCATTTTATCTGCAGTAAATATATCGTTGGGACTTTTTATTTTTAACGCGCACACACTCTCAACGTAGTCCCGCACTAGTGAAACCCTGTGTCGCGGGTGCCATGGACACACACATAGATAACCACAAATGACACCCAAACTTACGAGAGAAATAAATGTAGGCCATGCAAATATTTCTCTCGGCCGGGAATCGAACCTGGGACCTCTGCATGGCTGTCCGGCATGGTAACCTTTCGGCTACAGAGGCAGTTGACCTAAGGCCTTGCTCTCCGTTCACTTCAATTCTTATATAAGTAGTAGGTGATTATTTTTTGTAAAATGTTAGTACGAGAGCACCGGTGGCCACGTGAGTAGGCAACCATGACTCATGGCCCTGCGAAACCCGTTTCCCCTTTGCTCAGTCTATTATAATATGTAACAACTATAGAACACCGTAATTTAATTTGCGAGCTCTTATTTGATTGTTATACAAACGTACGTAATACTTTAGGGTTAGGTAGTTAAAAAAAAATGTTACATAAAACGAAATCTTTACCACTTCTATTGTAGTTCAACATTTCATTCCCTACATGAGTATTGGTTAATTATTTATAAACCTGCTGGAGGATGAAGCTGTAAAAAGTTACACTTTTAGTGACAGGTATTGTTCTTTCAAGACTCGTACTTTCTGTTATAAATTACTCTTCACCTTATGTAATATTTCTCAATGCCGAGCGTTCCTATAGTTACTCTGTGGGTAAAACGGAGTAATAAATACTACGGAACTGCAATCGAATGTGTATAAGAACGCATTTGTTCCGTACAGTTATAAGTACATTAGTTGTCTATGTCGTAACAAATTCGCTTGCGTTTGCTGTCGATAGAGGTGCGTGTTTACGTACCTACATAATACTAGGAACGTCGGTTTATATAGGCAACACCGACATGACAAAGTCAATTTGAGGCTCGATACGATTTTAGTTATTATAGATAATGAAGTCTGTAATTAGGAGAAAAGTCTATTAGTACGATTGTATTTGAATTCTACTTATTGTATTTCATAATCGTGATACAATATTGAAACTAAGTCTAGATCCGCGGTTGTCAATTAAATTACATAGTTACAAAATGACATGGGATCAAAAGTCGTTATTTTCAACCAAAAAGAGTCTAACAAACATTTCCCAAACGAGAGCCGTGTCACCCACACATCCGCGTTCGCGTCACGGCTGATAGAGATAGCGAACTATTATCAAATACATAAAGCAGTCGCGCGCGGTCAGTTTAGCCAGTTAAATTCTCATAAAACAGACTTAACTTATTATAAGTTGAAAGTAACTTAGTATGTTTCATTTATGTAAAGCAGTTTTTTGTTTTAGTGATACCAACAGACGAACAAGTTGTGCGCCTGGTGGTAAGCGACATGCCTGTCGATAACAGTTGCAGTGCCATTCATGGCTTTAAATCACAAAGATCTGAGGGGGGACTGCTATAGCGCCCGTCATCCTAAGACACAAGTTGAGAAGTTCCGTGTGCCTGTAATTTCACCAGCACCCTTGCCCTTCAAAACCGGAATACAGTAATGCTCACATTAGTGCTTGACTGTAGGAATATGTAAGGTGGCAGTACTACCGTGGACGAACTCAAGTGGTCCTACTGCCACTAAGTCATAGGAAGCATTTGATATTTATAAGTGCTCATGTTTTGAGGCAAGAAAGTATTAGTGTATTAAAATACACGAGGACTATACATCACACGTTATCTCTGAAAACCGATTTTGCAAGGTGAATTTAAGGTATTGGAATTAAATGATTTTTTTCCTAACAGGTCATTTTGGGCACTTTACAGGTCCCATGGTACATTAAGAGATTGATGAATATTAAGTTCCTTAGATATTTAGAACTATTATAATTCAAATACCAAAATTTTGCAGAAAAACGTCATCAGCAAAGGTTGCACAGAATTTCCTAAGAATTACATGATGAGAACTCGCGTAGGCTTATGGTAATTGTGTGTTCTGTAACAGTTGGCGACACGGCAAATTATTAAAGTTGCGATACAAAAATATAGCATTAAAACACTTGGTTTTAGATGCCCCAAGATTAAAATCACAAGAATCAATACTATTTATTATTGATTCTTGTGATAACATTGAACTAATGTTCACGAGATTACAAGACCTTTTATGGTAAGTCTAGAGTATGATGCTCTTAAACTCATTATCTTATGTTAAAGGTGCTAGTAATGAAAATATCTTTTAAAGCTAATTATTATATTAGTACAGCAAATCCATTTCCAGGCTTCCATCCGTACCGTCCCACCCGCTGCCGCGCGCGCGCGTCACGAGTACAACGACCCACTTGTTGTTTCATTTCGATTCACTAGCGGGCAATAGCCTCGTTCCTTACATGGACAATTTAAATTTTTCGTATAGATACGTCACTTTTTCTCGCGGATGAGTATTTCCGCACGCCTGCTACCGCGCACCGAGAATTTTTTTACAGGTTTCCACGGCCATTATAGTGAAGAATATAACATGTTTCAAAATTGGCGTTCACAAGGAACTTACACTATTTTAAAACACATTAAAGGCTTGTGAGGGAAGTTAGGTTTAGAAAGTTACGATTCTGTAAGTTGTAAGGTTTTTCAATACTTTTTTCAATAAGTGACTTGTCCATAACAGTTGCGTGCCACTGAGAGTTTTACATCACGATGCCATTTCGACCGTCATGGTGAGACATAAGTTGACAAGTCCCATGTGCCTGTAATTTCACCAGCGCCCTTACCGTTCAAAACCGAAACGCAATAACTGCCTTAAAGTAGTGCTCACATAAGTGCTTCGCGGCAGAAATAGGTAAGGTAGCAGTACTTTCCTGGGCGAATTCTTCATTTGAGTATAGTCAAAAAGTCTTCCGAATGGGTTTTTACAATATTTGGGCTATTGGTAACTTTGGGCATTTTAGGAATTTGGTGTCTTGGACGATATGTATAATTAATTGGTCACAATTTTTAATTGTTAAGACAATTGGTAAGACATTGGTCATTTTGCCGCTTTGGTAATTTTTCACTTTTGGTCCCCGAAAGGTTTCCGATTATGATACTCGACCCCTTATGAAATGA